AAATCGTCCGTTACTAAGAAAACTCAAGTAAATACATCAAAAAAATTCTCACATATTTTATAATATAAGAATGTTTCTGATGTATTAACTTGTTTATGGCGGGTGCGTGGCCTTAATCGGCATTCTATGGAGCTATGAGAGAACAAATGTTTAAACCGCTGTAATCCAGAGCACATAGTGTGCTTTAAATTAAGCCAGCGCTTTCCAGTTTCAGAGAATGTCTTGATTTTATATGACACGTATGGAAGTATGATCGTGAACGTGCTTCGACTACGAAATCTTAATGTAATTACAAATGTATGCACGTAAAAAAAATTACATTCTGTATTTGTTTTGACGATCGTGTAGTATTGCACGATTCTTTTTGAGGCGTATAAGTACTCGAGCAATTATAGTGAATAATCGTTTTGACATAGGTCGCCGTCGTATGCGCACTCATCGATCGGGCCTAATACTGGTTTTTGGCGCTACCTCTGCTGTCAGGTTGGTGCCTCGATTTATAGAAAACAATCATTGTGCTGACCGCTCTTCTCCAATTATCGGTACACATGAATAGCTGCCAGGTGACGGTGTTGATTTACATAAGGCTTTCAGCATGCAAGGGTTTTTATGGTAATAATAAAGATCGCACTGCCCTAATATGATGATGTAAGTGAGGTCAATTTTTTCTTGCATCCAGGTGAGCTTTTTTTGGTGGCAAACATTTAGCTTAGACTGGGCTCGTGCGTACCGGGGTGGACAATTTCTTTGTTTCTACTAATGTATAAAAGGAAATTTATTGAGTGCACATCTCAGAAATTGTAATTATCTTCTTTTTGGCAAGGTCAGACAGTTAAATTTAGTGCAATAAACCAAACTTTAAAAAATCTGATATACTGGACTCGATCTGCGGGAGCCTGCTAGGACAAAAAAATACTAGTGTCATCGCCAACAGTAGACTCTGTTTGTAATCATTCTTAGAATCTCAGCGACTTGTTATATATAGCGTCAATTCGTCGATACATTCTAGGATAGCAGGGCTCCTCAGATTTGAGTATATGAACCCATTTATTGGAACGTTCTCTCATGGGCGGCAAGCGACGTCGATACCGCCGAAAATAATTACTAATAGCGATCTGGCGAATTCAGGGTCACTTCTTGTCAACTACTACAGCAATACAGTAAAGTCGATACGCCATTAATATAGCATCTTTAAACGCGTCGAGCATCCCATATTTCTGTGTTCCTCTGTAATCACAAACTCGGTCCACTGAATGCTGTGGCCTGCGATCGTGTTCCATCACGTAAAACAACTTTTAAAAGAAAACCGTCCAGCTACAGGCGGTATAGTAATCGACGTACTTGATATACTGGCTTACCGAAAAACGATCACGACTTTGAAGTAAGTACGGCAAGAAAATGCCAATATTAATACCATGCTGTAAAAGGTGAAATTCCAAGTTGAGTATCTAGAAGTTGCAGGAATCGACGACTGACTGAATCGTTCGTTTAGCGGTGCTACTACTGCTCCTAAGTCAGCGGAAGACTTTACAGGTTAAGCCAGAGGCTTACGGCTAACAACCAATTAAGTTCTAAGGAACTGATGTATCAAGTCAAAGAGTTGGCTAGTTCTACGGAACTTAGCGCGGACTCTATGAGCTATTAGCTCAGACTACTGTAGTTCTAAGGAACTACACGCACAATGTAAAAAGGGGATTACTGGAGTCTAAGGACTCTTTTACCCGCTACAGTTTTACGGAACTGTCAAGCGCAATGTGTGAAAGGGTAAAAGTCTATGGACTTCTGCTCAAAGCGAGAACCGAATTTATTCAAATCTCGTATTAAGGAAAATCCTACTTTAAGTACCTTATATTCTACTAAACTAGTATTAATACTAATTTTAGCATTCTAACTAAATATATGGTTGGCACATCACTCAGTCATAAATGATGACGGTACAAAGTGCTTCCACGATAATTATCGTAACTCAGAGAATACCGACTAATCGGTATTCTCTATTGACATAAAATTTTAAGGCCACACTTTTTTCCCATATCACATATGGGAGGTCTTCAACCAATTTAGCCGATGGCTAGTGTGACCCCGGTACTGTTCGTGGGTCACACACTCATTGGGAAATACCCGTATAAATCTATATATTTATGGTACATTGAAAGCTGTCGGGTTCATATCAGGACCTACGTTTAACCCGATTGCAAAAAATGCTTAATTTTAGTCCTGGTAACTCTTCGAATAATTAGAAGAGTACATTCGACATCGTATTTAGCAGGACGTATACGATTCACTCCGTGTAGCTACAGGCAAGCAGCCGCACAGTAGCTACAAAGAGAACTGGCTTCTACTTTGCTACACTTAATAACAACTATGCAGTTATTCCCACAGTGTGGAGGCCGATTTGGAAACCTAACGAACGCTGAGATTTGTGGACGTCATCTTAAGGGAGCGACAGCTGTACACAAGTCTACAACATATAGTCAGAATTTGTTGAATTTAGCAAAATAGGGATGAGTACCGCCACGAGACCGTTGCATAGGTGTCGTCACAATACGGCCGTACTATCTGTGTGTTTTAGCGTTGGCCCGCTCGTAATTACGAGCTCAAAGGGTAAAGCCATTAGTGAGTGTGCGCAAGGTTGAATGCCGAGCTTTTAAATCGTACTTATCAATCTGTGTGTGTCTGTAAGAAACGCGGTTAGGTGTACAGAATACGATCTAGCTTGTCCCCTCTCATAAGTCAATGAGCAAATAGGTGTCACACTTTGGCAATATCAATACTGTGATGCACGCATGTTTTTGGCTTGAAATCGATCATAGGCGAATGCGATCACATAAACAAATGCAGGACGCCTATAAGCACAGGCTGATCGCGTTGCCCAAGTATCCCGTACCAGGTAATACAGACATTCACATCATTCCATTTCTTCTTTATTCACTGCTGTCGTAGTGTTCTGCAAATCGAAATCAGTTCCATGAACTAGATTACTTCTATCACAAGGCGAGCTCCAGAGCTTGCTCCTCTATCTTATAACGACTGTCGGTAATAGAATTCCGTCCTATTCTTAGATGTCGTACGCTCGGTTATAAGAACAAGCGTCGGCATTAAGCCGAGTCAGCCGTCCAAGCCGTGCGGTTCATGATCCCCTGCCGTGCGATTCATGATAGTGCGTCGTGCTATTGAGGACACTTGAACAGTGAAACCCGCTCGTGACGTTGTCTGTTTGCCAATGCCAATAAGTTGTGGATAGCATATTGAGAACGGCAAGAGGCATAAGATTTGTCGAATGTAGGGTCGGTAGCACGTGGCAGAGTAAAACATTAAGCGCGTGAAAACATGTGTGTGCTGATTGCCACCTCGACGTCATCCAACCGCTATTACCATATTTGATATTTTAACCGACGTACGAGTACATTCCTTTGTGTTTCCCGGATGTAAATATGCGCCTGCTTATACTTGTACTTTTCTTAGCGGCGACCCTTGCCGCTACAAGTGCAGGCCCTACCTGCACTGACCTCGACATTCGCCGTGACAATGTGTACAATGACAAGGACGACTTTAATCTGGAAGAGCGAAAAGGAGCAGGTGGTCGTGGTGGTCGTGGCGGTGGTGGCGGTACCAGGGGCCGAAGCAGCTACAGCAGTAGTACCCTTATTTACTATGGTTACGGCGGTTTCGAATATGTTGGTTTTTTTTTATGAACGGCGGCCTTGTCTTTATTGGCAAGGGTATGACTACAAATGCTGGCTATGTTTCGCCTGCTATCACTTGTGAAAAGAAAAAGAAAAAGTAAAGAGCGACTTTGACAGGTGCACAACATATCATAGGGCGTTGACCGAAACTGGGGCAGAGGGTCGATGCAGCATCTTGGCTCAAGCCTTTTCGAGTGAGTGACTCTTGCCTCGTCAACAGAATACAGCACTGGATTGAAGACTTACATTGTGCTGTACCGGATCAGGTACCAGTGACAACGTCGCCGTCTTCGTTTGACTGTGGGATTTTGCAGTCGAGGATAACGAGTGAAATGTGTTGGATGTCGGTTGATCCTGTTTACTGGTGTTTCGAGAATGATGACCTCTGGTATCATTGCGTGCGTCTCACGAGGACAAACTGACTGCACTCGAGTTCTAGTAAGAATTCTACACGTCACACAAGACTTTCTCCCTGTCAAGTGCGTATACCTTCGCCGCATTAGCACCCTATTCGTTTCACCTAACTATTTCAATAGTGCACTGACGTAAAAGGTCTAGCGACCACTTGCACTATCGCAAAAGATCAAGTGATCGTTCGAGCGCTGCTCTTTCGCGAGTCAAATGACACTGTTTGCAAGCACCGCTTGCTGGCATGTTTCGTGCACCGGAACTCATTTGTATCGTACAAACGTTTGTAGTAGTTGTTGTTGTCACTGCTATCCCGAAAAGAGAGTAGAACGCCCTCAGCTTTATAGTATCGCACGGGGGTAGGAGCATATTTTCTACTTCGCTGCACAATTCCATTCAACAACTCGGCACTCGACGTTACAGACGGACAAACAAACGATCGAGCGCATCAGGTTCGCGCTCTTTACCTTCCTCCAACCGCTATCCTGGCCTTTTGCACTACGTTGTCAGTCGTACTGACTGTATGAAGAAAATATTTGTGTAGGAGCCAGTTCCGGATCAGTCCGTGGCCCGCGACTTTGGCACGTTCAGGGGAGTAGGATCAACCCGAAGCGAACCAGTCGCAGGTCCTGGTTCCCACCTGTTTTTTACGCAGGCAAGCTGCTCCTCCCTTTCGTCCCGTCGTCCGTTCGAACAGCTTTTTTCTGTCTCCGATCGGCTTGAGACGCAGCCAATGAAGGTCTCTTTCTGAGTAGAGACCGTGCTGCTTGAGTTACTTATGCCGCAGTTCAATCACGGGCTGGGGAGAATTCGTGGCCTCGATTCGTCACTTGCCACCACCACCTCGCAATTCGCGTCCGACTCGACAAGACTCGAAACTTTGCACGTTCTGGAAGTTGATATACAATGCGTCTGCATCATGTCGTGCTGGCAACGGCCCTCGCTCTGTCGATGAGTAGCGACCTCGACGTCTTTGCTGGCACTTTGGACACGATCGGTGCTAAAAGTGTGCAAGAAGAAGACGAAGATGGGGACAGCGGTGACGCCATCGACACGAGTGACTTGTTGGGCTTAAGTGACAAAGACACTGGGTCTGGTGATATCAGTGGCGGCAGTGAATTGGAAGATCTACTGGACATGAGTGGAAGTGACGGGTTTGCTGCCTTGATTGAGTCATTGGGCGGCTTTGGAATGACTGGGTCAACGAGCGGCAGCGCAGCCGACGGCATGTCAGCGTCGGGCTCGAGTGGTTCAGCCAGTGATTCATCTAACGATGACGACGACAGCGGTACAAGCGACTTGTTGGACTCAAGTGAGGGGGACAGTGGGTCCGATGATTCGTCCGGCTCAGGTGAGGAAAAGAGTGGGTCCGACGAAGTGAGCGGCGGTAGTGAACTGGACGACCTACTGGACATGGGTGGAAGCGACGGGTTCGCTGCCTTGCTTAAATCACTCAGCGGCCTTGGAACCATTGGGTCAACGAGCGGTCTCGAAACCGAAGACATGTCAGCGTCGGGTTCGAGTGGTTCAGCCAGTGATACATCTAGTGATGACGACGACAGCGGCACAAGCGACTTGTTGGACTCAAGTGAAGGTGACAGCGGGTCCGATGATTCGTCCGGCTCAGGTGAGGAAGAGAGTGGGTCCGACGAAATGAGCGGTGGCAGTGAACTGGACGACCTACTGGACATGAGCGGAAGCGACGGGTTCGTTGCCTTGCTTAAATCACTTGGCGACTTTGGATTAAGTGGGGAATCAAGCGGCAGCAGCGAAACGGATGATGAGACGAAAGAGGCGGCTTCAGCGGGTAGTGGAATGGACCTGAGTGCTTTGTTGTCGGATCTTGGAGGAGCAGGTGGCGAAGATGGCGGCTTGGCTGGTTTACTGAATCCGACTGGTCCAGTTTCAGCAGTCGGAAGCGATTCGACCGGCGAGGATGGCAGCTTCGAAGCTACACCAATGCCGGGGGCTAATGGCACCGGCAGACCTTCGTGTGACACCTGGTATCGCCCGTTCACGTCGTGGGCTGGCAATCTTATTCATAAGAGTTCGATGAACGATTGTCCTGAAAAGCGCAGACTCCGTGCGGACTAGGAGACGCTTCATTCAGCTGCATGCATGTTAGTCTCGTGTCAGGCGAAATACATTTAAGGATACAGCTTAATGATTGATGTTTCATGTTATTGATGATCCACTCCGCGCCAGGTTTTTATATCTCACAGCTATACTTTTATCCACTGCTCAGTCAGCCTAACGAATTAGCGGGTGCGTTTCAGATACGTGGTAGATTTGCTTGGTAGAACACCCGATGTGTGTTAACGATCGTGATTTCGTAGACGTTAAGGGGCCTCACATACAAATACTTGCTTTGATCACTGCTACGAATAAAATCGCACATGCTAGCATACAAACGTTAAGTATAAGGAAGATTATGATTATATCTTTGGACAAATATCAGCGGCAAATACCACTTGAAACCACGATGACAGCGGTAACTAGCGACTTGAACTAATACGGGAGGCTTGACTTGCTGGTATCGATTCGATCTGTACCGCGCAAGTGGCCAAAGTTGACTGGCTCGTATACATCACAATATTGAACACGTTCACACTCACGGTAGCGGACGTGACTGCGCGCAGAACCTAAGCTAAGGATATGCTGCTTCAACTGGTGAATACAAGGACCATCTATGTGGAGGTCTACTGGTTCCTCGGAAGGATGTCGGGACAGATTAATGGTCTATCATCTCCTTGGATGCTTGGACAGGTGCCGTCTGTCCGTCCATCAGGATAGGCTCGATTGAAGATACATATAGCTGTAATATACAATTTATTGTTTGATGAGGTGATCTTCACTGCAACGGATGCATCTAATTACGTTTGTGACACGTGAACCCTTTTTCAATCATTCTTGTACCTTTGTCGACTGAAACCTGGCTCTCATCATTTCTAAAGATACGAATAGCGCCCCAGATGTAGCGACGAGTGCGTCGTGGCGGTCAATTAAATCGTCTACAAAGGCAAAGATCTTCAGTCGTCCATTGCGTGGTAAACGAATGTCAATCACTTAACATTTGTACCATAGGTGCTTATTGTTGTGCGATAGTGGTCGTTCTGAGGTGTGGTGGCAAAATATTTATCGTACGAACCATATGGTGGTGTGGTACAGGTGTGGTGCATCGGGTGTATTTGTAAAAATTGAGGTGTATTGAATCTAATAGATTAAAAAGTTTGCTGTAAGGTGGAGGCAAACAGCAAAATCGGAAGTACGTTAAGCTTTTTAGTAAGTATTCACTTTTGTGTTTTACCTACAATGACGACTGTTTGAATGGACACTTATTGATGTCAATTTCATGCAACTGGGTCACCCTGTTTTTACAATCAACCCCTGGCCAGAGCGGACACGAGATTCCAGTGTTTTACAACAATTTGCAATAAATGTCTGGTGGGGAGATCTCACCTTTTGGCGGTTACCGCGCGCGTTAAGCGGTGATGTGGAGGCGTATGCCATTCAAAAAAAGCTATTTGAGGGATGCTGTGTCCAACAGAGTAGTATAACAGCACTTTGTGTGTAGAGAAGTAAGATTGTACACGAGCATATAAAGATGACGCCAATAGGCAGTGTTCGAGAGCCCAAACGATGTGGAACCAGACAATTACGAACGTTATCGATACGAGAGCGCAGAAAGCAACAGCGAAAATCTAACAGCATACATCAGGCAATGCATTAAGTTACCGAACGCAATAAACCTTTCTAGAACATCACATCAGGTGGTGAACGACATACAACCGCGAGACACTGGAAAACGGCGTTGCTTACCTTGCTAGGTAAATCCAGACATCTCGTACACATTGGTAAGGATCAATAGTCAATCTGTATTTCTTCTTTCCTCTCTCCAAATTAATGTGTGCAAGATGCCGAAAAGGTCCCGAGCCAGCACTGAGCCAAGATTGTTGATACTGACCTGAAGGAGGATGCAATGGCGCAAGGCACACGCCAGCTATAGTCTTAATTGACAACACACAAAGGTTTACGACAGGTCGACATCACGCGATCATCATACAATCCAAACTCCTGTGCAAAGTGCTGTCGGCGAAAAGTGGTCTTTAATTATCGTCTGCAAGGCAAGACATTTAAGACGACGAGATTGATGCAGTGATTACCAAAAGGGAAACTACTCCGTGTGGTTGTCTGCGTTATCTTTCTCATCAGACAGACTTAGGTTCCTCTACCACCCGCCCATAATGCACGATACCCTGCTTCATACTCAGCGCTAAAACATACAGTGGAATGTACACAGACTAACGGTCTCTGATTATCTCATTTTCGAGAGGCGACTAATCCCTCGAGTACCGATAGTCTAGCTGCTCGACGGCAAATTCCAAAGCCAGAAGGTGTTACACTTCTCCTGTGCCGCTCCACTCCAAGTGTCGCAATGATAGTCCACGTAAGACTTGCACCTGCAACAGGTCGATCCCGTACCAAACGCGACTTTGTCCACGTACGCCACACAGCAAGGAGTATTTGGAGCAAACGAGACAACGAGGGAACGACACGAAGGAATTTTCTACTCGCAAAGGAACGCTCAGGATGTCACGCTCAACGTCGGAGCGCAGATCTTTCGACACTAGAGTTGTGAAGTCTTTCACGCCCTTCAATACTTGCTCTCGTACAGCCTGCCAATAGCTGAACCACGTCCCGATTCGTGTGATGCCAAGGTCGCGCTTCTTCTCTTTCGGATTCATCAGAGCAGCTCTAAGGGAAGGGGCCGTCGCTGCCACACACTCTCGTCCCATCTGCCCGGCTGCAGCTGTGCCCTCGTCCTGTTCAATCTAATCGTGGCATCTGCTTCTTTTCGTGGCACAACACGTCGAGCTGCGGATCCGATTCTAGTTATCCCTATGGTTGATACTGAACGCAGATCACCACAACGTCTAGCCGGATCAGGCATCCGATTCTTGCAGCTCATCAAAGAGCGCTGGATGGTCGAGTGGACCTGACGAAATGATGAATTATTGCGATAAAAAACATCGTTCGTTCGTGTGCAAGTCGTCGTCAAGACACAGGGAAGGGCGTCTAAGTATAGGATGTGCCGGTCGCAGGGCTGCACTGCTCGGTGCACAAGGTGCATGCTGTGCAGCTCCCCTTTTGGTACCGGCTTCCACTGCCTACCCGACGAGTCTTCAGCCTCCATTTCAGAATTGTCAGATCGATAGCCACTCTCTCCCTTCCTGATCGCTGATTCGAATCATGCGTCTGATCGGTCTTGTGCTCTTCACAGTGGGGATTCTAGTCGCAACCAGCGCGAGGACTAGCACCGCTGAGGGGAACCTTCGCAGCGGCGATGATAAAATAAGCAACGTCGACTACAGTTTGGAAGAGCGGAGAGGAGGCGGTGGAGGTGGACGTGGCGGCGGCGGCGGTGGTGGTGGTGGTGGCGGTGGTGGCGGCCATGGTCGCGGTGGCGGCTATGGTGGCGGTGGCGGCTATGGCCGAGGTGGCTACAATGACGGTGGCTACGGTCGTGGTGGCTACAACGGCGACGGTCGTGGTGGCTACAACGGCGAAGGTCGTGGTGGCTACAATGGATATGGTGGCTACAATGGATATGGTGGCTATGGTCGTGGTGGCTACAATGGCGACGGTCGTGGTGGCTACGATGGATATGGTGGCTATGGTCCTAGTGGCGGTGGCTACGACGGCGGTGCCATTTTGAAAGAAAAGTTGAAAAACTTGTACACTTTCAATTGGTTTTAGGCTGATCAGGGGAACAGGAAGTGCACGCATTCCATCGCGAAGAACATGAACGAGTTGTGACTCGTGACTTGCCTACGAAGTTGAGGGACGCATACTGACGCCGCTGTATGCTTACAATGTGCAACACAGCCACAGGCGCAGAGGATCAGAATACATCGATACACTTTTGTCTTGTTGATTGTGTGTCTGATCGTACGAAGGAGAATGGGTTTGCAGCGTTTGATTCCTTGTTATTACGTGGATAGGAACTTAGCTTGTTTATGTAGCGACCCTCCTACACCTTTCGCCACGTAATGCTCTTCTGCTTGAGCACGTCGCATCCCTTAAGCACTTGCAAGGTTTCGTTCCGTGAGTGTCTCTAGGTATTCTATGGTGTAGTAGGCCAATCTGAGGTCGACCTTTGCTAGCATTGCAATCACTTGCGTATTGACACATCGGCCATGTGCTGGCTTCCACATGCATTTGAGCGCTGTTAACAGTTTGGATACAACGGTGTCTGCGGCAAGGACTGCATCCTTGACTTGAGAGCAAACAATACCCGTGCACTCATAGGTGTGTCGTAAGTCCAGATCGCTGCTATCTCAACGCATGAGCTTGGCAGCAGTATTGCCCGATAAACAACACGACATCCAACGTCGTGATGCCAACCTCCCTACGCTTGCAGTAGGTGCATGCGCATGGCCATTTTCTCAGCTGTTTCTGCGAGCCAGATGTGCTCGAAGTCAATCCTTCTCGTCTGTGCGGGGAGAAGATGTCGCCGGTGATGGCTCCACTATGTCTGCGTATCAGATGAGTGCGCAAGGCTGGAGCCAGATCGCGGGTCATCGAGATAAGCCAGTTTTAAGCTTTCGGACGCTGCATATTTCACGACCAGATCCATTCCAACGAGATGCTCGCGAGCTTCTGGTCTTCGACTGGTTTATGCATCGGATACTGGGCCCCTTTCGTATCCTCAATTTTTCAAGGTCTCAAAAACGAGCTCGCTCGTCTCCAGTCGTTTAAGACTGTGCTACACTATAGGCCACTTGCTCGAAGTTAGAGGTCCACGTTGCGCCAAGCCTGACCGGAGCTGGGGAAAATTCTACCACAGTCTCGGGATCTGGTGGGTCAAGTATAGAGAAGAACTCTGTTGAGAGAGTCCCCTTTGCATTCATTGGTAGCCAGCACTTTTCATTTTGCCTCCAGCTGATCAAGAGTCGCAACCTCACGCTTCTACCAGCTTGACAAGATGCATCTGAATCACGTCCTGCTCGCGACAGCCATTGCTTTGTTCGTAAACAATGAAGGTGTTGTCACGGCTGGGAACTCGGAGAGTCTTTACAACCACGATGGTCAAATCGCTCAAGAAGGACAAGGCGACGATGACAGCTCTGCCCTCGATCCCGACCGAGCAGCTGTGATCGCAGCCAAGACCCCAAGTACCAAGAGTGGCATAATGCTCGCTCCTGACTCGAGCCTCGATGACGATAGCGAGCTTGTAGCAAGCGACGATGATGACAGTGAGTCGAGTGAGTGGACCAGCTCCAGCGGCTCTAATGATGGCCTGGACGGTCTCTTTGGTCAAGGCAGCAACAGCCTCGATCTCGATTTTGACCCAACCTTTTTGATTGCGGGGAAGACCCCCACGACGAAGGAGGGTGTGATGGCTGCTTCTGACTCCGCTAGCGGCGATGACGATGACGACATGGAGATCTGGTCAGGCTCAAGCGATGACGACAGTGAGTCGAGTGAGTGGACCAGCTCCAGTGGCTCTATTGATGACCTGGGCGGTTTTGTTGGTCAAGGCAGCATCAGCCTCGATCTCGACTTTGATCCCACCCTTTTGATTGCGGGGAAGACCCCCACGACGAAGAAAGGTGTGATGGCTGCTTCTGACTCTGCTAGCGGCGATGACGATGACGACATGGAGATCTGGTCAGGCTTAAGTGACGAAGACAGCGGTTCGTTCGAGATGAGCGGCAGCAGCGATCAAGATGACTTGTTTTCAGTGGATGGCAGTGGATTCGATGACTTCCTGAAGGCCCTCGGATTGTCTTCGGGTAGCCTGGACTTCGACGTCGGCAGCGGCTCGCTAGACTCAAAGAAGGCTCCGAAGAAGACGAAGTATGCCAGTTCATCCGCTTCGGCCAGCAGTGAAACGATCGACTTTGACGACTTCTTTGCGGACATGAAAGGTTCAGGCCTTGGTGGCGGCTTGGGTGGCCTGATGATGCCTCCTGCCCCAGATGCATCGACCGCTGCCGGTAGCTCAAGCGCTTCGGGCAGCGGTAAAGTTACCCCTGAGTGTAAGGAAGGTTGGTGGAGCAAGACCAAGGCGTGGTTTGGCAGCTGGATAAAGGTGACCACGGACAAGGATTGCCCACCTGCTTCTGCCCCTGCCCCACATACGCGCAAACTCCGTGAGGAGTAGGAGAGGCGTCTCTAGCTGTTTGCTTGCAATATAGCGTTGGACAATATGCATTTGAGGATACAGCATGATGATACATATAACATTTTTGCTGAAGGTCTGGTGATGTTGTCGACGAGTCCGCCTTCTATCTCTCAGCCTTCTAGCAATGAGCAGTTCGTAAATGAACGGAAGGCTTGTCGTACATGCAATGCTACTTTGATCGCACTTTTGATCATGGTATGCTGTTGGCAGCTTCCATTCATCCGATGTAAAGTGCCACGAGATAATAGCGTTGCTAATCAGCTGGCATGAATAAAGTTGGTGAGCAATTACAAGGAGGTTATTTTATTTTTTATACAGCGCTCTAACTCGTGACTGCTTTTTTCTATTCGTTTACTGCACTCTTTTTTAGCTGAAAATTCCGTCCAGGAATTCTATCGCCGACTTTATAGCGCATTATAGAGCATGCTGCGTGTCATCCTCGTCAATTTCAAAGAGCCAATCAGTAGGCTCCAAACGGTAAACGATGACCAAGACTCGACCACCAGAGCTGCGCCAGTTGCTAGGGGACGAAGCCAAGGATGTAGCTGACTACGACGCCGTAATCAAGGCCCCGACGCTATCATCTACTGCTCCTACATCTTCTGATGAGGAGTTGTACTCGCGCAAGTTTAGGTGACCCGCATCTGCTCATTTAAATGCGCATGACCCTTGCGAGGCGACTTACTGATACTGATATCTGCAGCTGGCAGACATTGTGGGCTTATGCTGGGCCAGGGTGGCTCATGAGCATTGCTTATGTGGACCCTGGGAACCTCGAGAGCGATCTGCAAGCAGGAGCTTATGCAGGCTATCAGCTGACGTGGGTCCTGTTTGGTGCGACCGCAATGGGCTTTTTTCTCCAAGTACTGGCCGCTCGACTGGGTGTAGTCACTGGCAAAAACTTGGCGGAAATGTGTACGGCCATCTTCCCCCGGTGGGCTTCACTGACGCTGTGGGTCATGACGGAAATTGCAATCGTTGGTAGTGACGTGCAAGAAGTTTTGGGCTCGTCCATTGCATTTCAAGTGCTGTTTCGATTCCCGCTGTGGCTTGGATGTCTGATCACTGGCTTTGATACGTTTACGTTCTTACTGCTTCACCGCTATGGGGTTCGCAAGCTTGAAGCGCTTTTCGTCGCGTTGATACTGGTTATGCTGGTCTGCTTTTGCGCCAACTTGGTGCGTGGAGACGTTGCATCAGCAGACGTAGTGCGTGGCTTTGTGCCGCGTGTTGATCATTATGCCGTGACGCAGGCTGTGGGCATTATTGGAGCCGTCATCATGCCGCACAACATCTTTTTGCACTCAGCACTTGTGCAGTCTAGACAAGTAAATCGACGCAGTGGAGGCAACGTCCGCGAGGCAAACAAATACTTTGCAATAGAGGCCTGTCTGGCGCTAATGGTGTCCTTCTTGATCAATTTGGCCGTACTGGCCGTTTTTGCAAAGGGCTTCTTCTCGCCAGATTGCGTAGCATCTTTTGACACAAGTGGGGTCAACACAGCCTGTGTCTCTGTAGCTATTGCTAATGACGACACGCGTGGACACTGCCAACTTGGTAATGGTGACGAAGGTATGTGTCAAGAGATCGGGTTATCCCAGGCTGGTACGGCGCTCAGCGGCATGTTGGGAAAGTACGCTGACGTCGTTTGGGCAATCGGTCTGCTGGCTGCAGGACAAAGCTCCACTATGACAGGAACTTACGCGGGTCAATTCGTCATGGAAGGATTCCTGCAGCTTCAACTGTCGCCATGGAAGCGTGTGGCGCTCACTCGATGTGTGTCGCTTGTTCCTGCACTGACTGTCGCGATCTTAAGCCAGCAAAATCCAGCGGAAAGCGATCACATGGACGAGTTACTCAACGTACTGCAGTCGATCCAGCTGCCATTTGCTTTACTTCCCGTACTGATCTTTACGAGCTCACGTACCATCATGGGAGACTTTGCGAATAACAAGGCGACAGTGGTATTTGGCTGGCTCTTGGGCGGCCTCGTGTGTGTCGTCAATCTGTACTTGATCTTCACAAACCTGGAAAATATCGCTTTGGGTGTCACGGGGGTCGTTGTTTTGGGAGGCGCTTGTTGTTTGTACTTTGGCTTCCTGGGATACTTGATTCGCACTGGAATGAATTTGGTCGCCGATCGCACACGCACAGCCCCTCGCGTATATCAAGACTAGAGCTGCATGCTCCCAGCTCAAAAAGAAAAGATACATCACAAGTATATTACAGCATCCAGTGAAGCATGGCTTCTATCTCCTCAACCTGCAGCTATCAACCAAGGCTCAGTCGGCGTAGTTGCGTCCGTACGTCTCAACGCGTCGACCCCGGCGCCTCATGGCCGTTTTGGCTCGTGTTTTCCACTGCTTCAGCAACTTCTTCGCCCGACATTGCACCTCTGGAGCCTCAGCTCGTCGAAAGAGTCTCGTGAGCGCGACTCCAATGCGCGTCTTCTCCAGCATCTCCAGCGACACGAAGAGCTGCTCCAGTGCTTCAAGAATGCTCAGCATATCGGTGGTGGTCTTAGCCTCATCCAGCTCCTCCTTCAAGTACTGCATGTGCTCCTGCGAGACGACTTTGTGTCCGTGGTGGATCGTTGTTTGTCGCTGCCGCTTTTTCGGAAGTATAGATGGAGTTGTTTCAACGACCGATGCGGCTAGCGCTGCTGCTGCGTCCCCACGCAGCACGTACTTTTCCATTGGATGGCTACTGCAGTGGTTGTTGTCGAATTATGTTGACATATGGCTACAGCTCTTGGTGAGGAATTTATTGCATGGCTACAGCCATAAGATGGTCAAAATTTGCTGAAAAATCGAAACTTTGAGTTAATTTTTCATGTCCTATTGCAATTGTCAACGGATTTACACGATAAATGATTACGCTATCCTATTTTCGCAAATTATAGATCTTTATCGGGTAGCGTCGTACCATTGTACGGGAACACCGAGGACAGAATCGTTATAACTTTTTTACTATTAGGTTGGGTAGGACCATGTCCAGTTGACTATCCAGAGTGTCGCGACAGTCGGCCTGCCGCATTTTTATAGTGACGCGCTCGTCGGCAAATACAAGAGTATTGCAAAATAATTGTTAAAGGACAGATTGTCATATGACCAAGTTTGTTTGATCAATCTTGTAACGGGGCACCCTGAAGCTTGTACTGGTGACAGTACAAGCTACTTATTCTGATAACAGAATAAGGCGGTGCCTCGTAACTTCACGTACACTCGTACGTGCAGAGGAAGACGGTAAGAAGAAGCGAGTACTTGGTTAGAGTAAAAAGTAGAACTGTATTTATAATAGTTAATGTCTGCAATAAATCACTATTTATCTTCATCTAACTATGTCTAAATACAAATGTGTAAATCAGTTATCTGCTCACCACTCATTGCGTGCGTCTGTCGTGGCGCGTCTTCGTTGGTTGATATAATGGCCTATATCAACCAATTAGGAACTACTTGGAAGTGCTACAGAATATTGTCCTTATGACAATATTCTGAGAATATAACTCTTATAGTTATATTCTATTTTACAATTTCTTATAAATTGTTATGTAACGATTCACCCCGTTACATCACCCCCCTTAACCATCAGTCACTTTAGTGACTGATTGACTAAATGGATACTCGTCCCAAATCATTTGGGACGGGGTTTCCACTTGTTGGTCCGCGTCCACTTTCCAACATCTCATCGCATGGTAAACAAGCCCATGCGATGCGCGAGCAAGGCCGCCGAGAGCTCGTCCGCACGTCTCTGTGCGGAAGCCGAAGCAGAAACTACAGCAACTGATGTCTCATCAGTTGCTGAATCGACTCAGCCTGTATCACCTGGTGATGCAGGCGCTGGTCATGAAGACACTCGTGTCTTCACAGAGTATGAGCTCGGTGTCTCGTACTCTCCTGATACGGATGACGGATCCGTATCGACGGCAATTGAATCCAAGCCGCCTGCCAAGCGTGGCATGGACGATGCTTTGCGTCGCAGCATCTTTGGTTCATCTGATGAGTCAGATGAACCATCGCCGAAGCGAAGGCGCTCGAGGTCGCGAGACTCGGGCGCTAATAGTGGTGTCGTTTCTCCAATGGACACCACTTCACAGCGAGGTGCCAGTACTTCTGTCGGCACGTCGCAGGAAGAGCGGGACCGCAATGTGTTGCGTCTCGCTCCAGAAAAGAAGGCATGGATGCCTCCTAAATCTGTCATGGATCACTTGTCGGCGACGACGAGTGATCGTTATCGAACACGATTGTTCGATTCGTCGAGGATTCATCACCTTGACCCCAGCGCGAAAGACTATCGCGCTGAACATGAGTTCTTCATCGATGCTTTCTTCAGACATCGATGGTACAGTGGGAATCACAAACGTGATGGCCCCTCACTACTTCAGGCGTGGAACGCCTACATCCATAATCTCGAGGATGTAGGTCGTGACGCTTGGAACGACAAACTTATCAAAGCTCGTGATAAGTTTGAAAAGCGAACCCCGACAGGTGCACGCTATAAGCTGCATCGTCTGTCAAGGGAGAAAGGATTACCCTGCCTCTCTTGGGGAGACTCGTGCCCATGTTGTGTGAACAACTCTGCACGATCACCTAAGGAGGCTTACCTCCTTACCAGCCCGTGGTGGCGCGTACGTGTCTCTACTGAGATGTACGAAGGGATTGACAACCTGAAATCCCTTTACGACCGTGCCGGGAAGACTTTCTCCGGCGGTCCTTCTGCGGCACAGGATGTGTCGCGTCGTACTGCTCGACCAGACCCAGTACGTCAACCATCAATTGGGAGCGGGGCTCCCAAGAATCCCAGGACGGGGGATAGCCGCGCCACCGGACGAGATAACTCGTCCGACGTCCGTTCACGTCGCGGTGGTTCAACAGCTGCTCTACTAGATAGCGCTGGCCACCGCGAGAGTCCTCTAATGGAGGTGGAGGAGGAGGAAAGACGCTCTCCACACGATCATGTGGATCGGTGTGTTCCCGAGAGCTTCTTTGATCGCGTAACGCAAGGGTTACGCGACGATCTCGAGCATGAGCGGAATAGGCGTCTCCAGATGGTGGACACTGCCTCGAAGCATCGAGCTGAGTTTGCCTTTGCTCAGCTTGAGAACGAGAGATCTCTGACATCTCTTCGTGACGAGCTAAGGGTAGCTCGTGGGATTGTTGATCGGTCTCGGGCTGAGATAACTGCTCTTCAGACCCTTGTTGATGCCCACCATCGGGAGCACAAGGCTCTCTGCGAGATGCTTGAGCGCAAGGGCGTTCTTCATCGGAAGAAGCAGCGTACTGATGGTACGGCTTAAGCCGACCAACGTAAAACGTGGGATGCGTTCGCATCTTACGTGGTAACTCGATCGTGTATGCATTGCCTAGGCGGTGCAATACACGAAATGGACCAATGTACTTGGGTAGTAGTTTACTGCTACCCAAGTTAGTCACTACATGTTTTGGTAGATTAACCGTAGACAGTAGGACTAAGTCACCTTTATTAAATAAAAGAGTGTTTGCCCTTCCATTCTTGTCAGCGTTTTGCTTTTGCTTATCCACCGCTTCGGCGATGGAGTCTTGCACAAAACGGACTACCGTTTCACGAGCCAGTATGAACTCATCTGATGACTCGTTAGCTTCAGTGTGCTGTGAGCGCACTGCAGCAACATCAACCTTTTCTTCAGTGAGGGCTTCCGCACTCTCACTGGGATCTTTCTTCTCACTGGCATCATCTTCTTCGATATCGATGTTATCGATATCGGCATCAAACGCAATGACTTCTTCGTCAGAGCGTGATGAGCGTGAACCAAATCGGTTTTTGCTCGCGCGAGTCCCTCCCCCCTTAAACCAGAGTTACACTCTAGTAAGGTGGGTACACGCGGATGGCGCAAGCCATTCACGTAAAACGGTGTATGTGTCGTGGACGCATGCACCGAGTTGTTGATGGCAAACTCTACCATTGGCAAAAACTCACTCCAACTCTTAAAGGAGTGTACGTATCCTCGAAGTATCTCTTCAAGGACACGATTGGCACGTTCCGTCTGACCATCTGACTCTGGATGATCAGATGTTGACATTTTCAAGCGCGTTCCGAGTGATTTGAACACGGAACGCCAGAAATCAGCAGTGAATCGTGGATCTCTGTCTGATACGAGTTCACGGGGCAACCCATGAAGTCGGAAGATGGTGTCAATAAAGACACAAGCACAGCCACTTGCCGTGATTGTCTCTGGTACAGCCACAAGGTGTACCATTTTGCTGAATCTGTCAACAAATACGAGAATACCCGTATTCCCGCGTGCGTCTTTGGGTAACCCGAAGACGAAATCCATTGAGATGGATTCCCAGCACTCAGCCGGAACCGGTAGAGGCTGTAATGGTGCACGCAGTGAAGGACTTGACTTCACTCGTTGGCAGACTTCGCATGCGCGAACATACTTTCGCACAAACTGATACTGGCGGGGCCAGTAAAAGTCTCGACTTACCGTGAGATATGTTTTCTCTCGGCCACGATGTCCTCCTATAGGAGCATCGTGATACTCGAACATGATCCGCAAACGCAGATCAGTATCATCTGGAATGACAACACGTGGTGTGTCACCAGAAACGGCTGTATAGTACAGTAAACCGTTACGAGTAGTGTATCGATCTGATGCAGATCGATACGCAGACGACAATCGTTTCAACGATTCTCGAGATGGTTGGGAGAGATGTGACAACAACTTCACTATCTCACCATCTTGGGCGTATGCCCGCCTCACATCATCATACAACGTTGTAGATGGAACTGAGGACGTCATAACCGCAACAGTGACTGTCTCACTGTTGGGTTTCGCGACTGTTTCAAAGTCGGGACGACGTGAGAGTGCATCAGCGACGACATTAAGTCGTCCTGGTTTGTACTCGACCGTAAAGTTGTATTCTGCAAAGAATGACAACCACCGCGCCATTCGTTGTGAAAGGTGCGGGCTGTTCACTGCCGTGCGTAAGGACGCATGGTCAGTGTAAACAACGAAGGGTCTATCTCCTAATAGATAGACTCTGAACTTCGCGAGTGCATACTTCATGGCAAGGAGTTCCTTGTCATGCACTGGATAGTTCCGCTCAGCTGGTTGCAGCTGACGCGACTGATAGCAGACGACGCGTTCAACGCCTTCAAGGTCGTACTGCATTAATGCACAGCCGATTGCGAAATCGCTGGCATCACAGACCACATGAAATGGCCTGTCCTGATCGGCTATTGCTAGGACTGGGGATTGTATCAAGCTCTGCTTGATACCATCAAAGGAGCGCTGACATTCAGCGTTCCATAACCACCTCTCGTTCTTTTTCAACAAACGAGAGAGGTGTACAGTCATCTCGGCGTAATTGCGTGAATGCTTATGCAAATACGCCGCTAGCTAAGGAATTTTCGAAGACCTTTGACATCAACCGGCACAGGCCAGTCGGTGATCACCTTGATCTTTTCGGGATCAGGACGTACACCGTTCTTACCAACGATGCACCCAAGAAGTGGTATTTCGCTTGCTGCAAATATACACTTCTTGAGGTTTGCATACAATTGATGCTTTCGCATGATTGTAAGAACTTGTCGGACGTGGTACTTGTGAACCTCAACGTCCGACTTTCCATCCATAGCTCGACTATGGATGAATACGTCATCGAAATAACTCGGCGCGAATTCTCGTACTGGCCTCAGCAGATGTGATACACACCTGTTGAACGTGGCAGGGGCATTACTGAGCCCTTGTGGCATTACTAGCCATTCCCAGAGCATGCCGCAAGGCGTGCTAACTGCGGTATAGGGTATATCCCGTTCCCGCATTAGGATTTGATAGAAGCCATCCATCAAATCCATAGACGAAAAGATGGTACTCTTTGACATACCATCAATGATTACGTCCTTCCTCGGTATCGGCGTCTGAGCCGGTACCGTTGCAGCGTTCAATTTGTTAAACGCGTGCACTATCCGCCACCCTCCTGTTGCTTTTCGCACACAGAAGGTCGGAGAGCTATGTGGGGAAGTTGATTCCCTCACATGGCCCGCTGCTAAACGATCGGCAAAGAACTTGTCGATCGCAAGTACTTGTTCACGAGGCAGTGGCCACTGCTTCATGACACAGTACTTCGAGCCTGGTTTAAGCTCGACTTCGTGTCGAATACCTTTATCCTTCGGTAATTCGCACGGAACAGTTTCAGGGAATACATCCTTGAATTCAACCAAATCTTATAGAGAGGATTTGTCTTGAGCGATTCCCACGATTGGGAGTCATATCGCTCAATTCGTGTCTTTTCATCTAGGACACTCTCGTCCATAGATGAACTACTGAGAACTCTCTCGTTCTCAGTAAACACTGTTGCTGACCTTATGTCGGTTACATACTCGTCTTCAGCGACGAGTATGCAGATCTGCTTGACTTTGCCACTACGCAGATCACGCAAGAATCTTTTATGTTCGAGCGTTGGCAACTGAGTGATCTCCGAAGTTAACTTCGGAGGCGCAATCAGATCAAGTGTATAAGCGCCTACACATGATCCGTTATTGACTATGACATTCAATGTCTCTGTCATTTCCTGGGGACTTATTCCCTCAGGCTTCGAAGGACTTATTCCTTCGTCTTCCCGGGGACTTATTCCCGCGGGTTTCGGGGAGCTTATTTCCGCCGTATTTGTAATCTTGGGACTTATTCCCTTTACTTCCTCTAGCTGGGGTTGCGCAACCACAGCGAGATCCTCTACGAAAGACTCTCCAGTCGATCTAGGATTATCGTTTCGCTTAACCTGAGCGATCGATTGTTTCTCTTCTAGATGTTCCCCTCTAGGGATACATCTTTGTCCCAGTCCACCCGACTTATTCGAGTGGTGGACCTTCGGCGCAGCCTGTGTTTCCTCACAGCCGCCGGAACTTTGCTCCGAAGTGTAACCGTTTGGTACACTAAGGTTTTGTGCAGTCGTACTAACGACCGTACCACAAGTGAGGCCATCGCACTCACTCGTAGTACATCCACACGCTTGTGGACGCTCCAAAACGTTCATCAGATGGCCATCTGATGAACAAGCGGCAGGCATCGTTACTGTCCGATGTTGCCAGTTTACCCGTGGTTCGTACCTTCTGAGCCACGGTATTCCAAGGATGACATCAAATTTGTCATCCAAATCCAATACGATAAAGTCATCATCATATTGGGTATCTTCTAGCGTATAGTGAATCTTCACTATACGCTTCATGACGGTTACGGATGCGCCTGTCGCAAGACGTACCGTCATCCTCGTAGGAGGTGTGTCACATTCACTGAATTTAAAGTGACCATCTTCTAGCGATTGGCGTCGCACAAAATTGTTGGACGCCCCACAATCGACTAGAGCTCGAAGGGACAACTTATTCGTCACTTCGAGTTTCAAGGTAATGAGTGAGACCTCATTACCTAGAGCAGCAACGCACAACGTTTGTGTGTTGGGAGCAACCTTCATCAAGAGGCCTACAAATTCTCTTGACGTTGCTGGATCAGTAGGGTGCTCCGCACCTACTGATCCTGTCCGTTTTTTGACGGTCCATCCCGTTGTTGCGTCTTTGCACCAACTGCGGACCCTCGTCCCTGCCCCTTTCTCATGGGTGGACGGTCACTACGCCCAGTGTCGCGAGACACTGGACGAGGGGCACTACACTCGTAAGCGTAGTGTCCTGTCTTTTGACATCTGTTGCATCTCTGCAACTTCTTGTAGCCTGTAGAGCGAGCCTTCTCGCTCTCTACATAACAGAGTTCCATCGGCTCTGGACCTCCGTTGTCATATCGTCTCGGTTGACGATATGATGTCGAGCTGGCGCGAGCCTGTCTCAGACTGAAGTCTTCCTGCTCCGCAATTGAAATGGCTTGTTCTAGTGAATCTAGTTCAAGCCGGAACAGGTGAGTCTTGACGGGACCATCCGCAAGACCCTGCATGAACACCGAAACCAACGTGTGTTCATCCACCGGATTGGAACTTATACAACTCGTGAGATGTCGTATATGTTGAGCGTAAGCGTGCACATCACGCTTACCCTGCTTGAGCTTCAAGAGTTCGGTTCGAGCTCTGAACTCAGCTCTAGGCGGTTCAAACGTTTGTCTGAGCCGCGACTTGAAGACTTCCAACGACCCAAACGCATATGGGTCGTGCAGCTTGAGCCCCAGTGCCCAAGTCTTGGCACGTCCTGCCAGATTTGACTGGGCAAATGCAACTTGCATATCCCCGTCGTCGATGCGACGCGCCCTTATGGCGTCATCCCATTCGACGAACCATCTCAAGAGGGAGTCCTCTTCGACTCCCCTATACTTGGAGATGTCAATCTTCAAAGGTTTCGGGTCCGACGCGAGTGCATCGACCCGCCAGCAGCAGCCTGCTGCTGTCTCAACAGTTCAAACTGTTGAGCACCTTGTTCTCTCAACAACTCTGCTTGTTGAGAACCTTGTTGGTGAAGCAAGGCTACTTTCTCGCGTTCTGCGTCAATTTCATTTTGAATGAACTTGGCGATAGTAGCATGTTGGGCATCTCTATTGAGAGCCTCTAGCATGACGCTAACAGCATGGATGCCCATGGTCGAACCCATTCGTTCAACCGCATCCCATTCGACATCGCTCAAATGGGAGTAGCCGTCACGCGTAGCGTGAAAGCTTTGGTCATCTTCATCATCCAACATATTCATGTTGGATGTGAACGCGGTCCTTGGACGGACTACGAAGTGCTACCAGGTGTAACGGGGCACCCTGAAGCTTGTACTGGTGACAGTACAAGCTACTTATTCTGATAACAGAATAAGGCGGTGCCTCGTAACTTCACGTACACTCGTACGTGCAGAGGAAGACGGTAAGAAGAAGCGAGTACTTGGTTAGAGTAAAAAGTAGAACTGTATTTATAATAGTTAATGTCTGCAATAAATCACTATTTATCTTCATCTAACTATGTCTAAATACAAATGTGTAAATCAGTTATCTGCTCACCACTCATTGCGTGCGTCTGTCGTGGCGCGTCTTCGTTGGTTGATATAATGGCCTATATCAACCAATTAGGAACTACTTGGAAGTGCTACAGAATATTGTCCTTATGACAATATTCTGAGAATATAACTCTTATAGTTATATTCTATTAACAATTTCTTATAAATTGTTATGTAACGATTCACCCCGTTACAAATCTTCCAGTTATTAAGTGGTCCGTCTGTTTGACATTGCTTATATTACATACACTATCTGAAGATGGTAAAGCTACTCGTCAAGCGGCAAGTTGATTTGGCATAAAAACAACGCTCTTGCACGGTTTCCTATGATGGGGAGCCCGCTGAACGGTCGCTGGTGACTTGCAGGAACGCTCAGCTTGCTGGATGAGCATTCGGGGTGTGAGTAGCGAAGCAAGGAGGACAACAGTAAGTAGCGTTTACACTGTGACTATACCACCGGCGAATTATTATGAGCTTCAATGTCGAAGTGAGAAGTTACGGCAATCCCAACGTAGGAGGCCTAAATATTAGGTTACATTCAATAATGGCTAGTTTTACACAAAAAGTTCAGAAAATAATGTGCATTTTAATGATCATCACAATAATTGATCGGTGACGCATTGCCACACTACTTTGCTGTTAATTTTGCCACGCGTAAGTAAAGATTAAAGTGCAATTGTACAGTACTATCGGTCCAAATCCATAGCCTCTACGTCGATATCCTTAGGACAACATGTATCTGTCATCTTACCGCACAGTTTTTGAATCGAAGTGCTATTGTGATGAGTGCTTATGGAAAATGATGGACCAGGCTATTTCGATAAAAATAAAAGAGTCATTTACAGGGAGAGGGTGCTTGAGAGAGAGGGGTCACGAAAGTGGTGGACTCTCAGGTTAAAGGGACCCGTAGTGTGACTAGGATCACCCTATACAGCTGACTAAATCATATTAAAAAGATGACATACTGGCGATTAGCGTCAGCCGTTCTGCTGGGAGATAGGTGCAGAACGTGTACAGAACATGTAACGGGGTGAATCGTTACATAACAATTTATAAGAAATTGTTAATAGAATATAACTATAAGAGTTGTATTCTCAGAATATTGTCATATGGACAACATTCTGTAGCACTTACGAGTAGTTCCTAATTGGTTGATATAGGCCATTATATCAACCAACGAAGACGCGCCACGACAGACGCACGCAATGAGTGGTGAGCAGATAACTGATTTACACATTTGTATTTAGACATAGTTAGATGAAGATAAATAGTGATTTATTGCAGACATTAACTATTATAAATACAGTTCTACTTTTTACTCTAACCAAGTACTCGCTTCTTCTTACCGTCTTCCTCTGCACGTACGAGTGTACGTGAAGTTACGAGGCACCGCCTTATTCTGTTATCAGAATAAGTAGCTTGTACTGTCACCAGTACAAGCTTCAGGGTGCCCCGTTACACCTGGTAGCACTTCGTAGTCCGTCCAAGGACCACGTTCACATCTAACATGAACATGTTGGATGATGAAGATGACCAAAGCTTTCACGCTACGCGTGACGGCTACTCCCATTTGAGCGATGTCGAATGGGATGCGGTTGAACGGATGGGTTCAACCATGGGCATCCATGCTGTTAGCGTCATGCTAGAGGCTCTCAATAGAGATGCCCAACATGCTACTATCGCCAAGTTCATTCAAAATGAAATTGACGCAGAACGCGAGAAAGTAGCCTTGCTTCACCAACAAGGTTCTCAACAAGCAGAGTTGTTGAGAGAACAGGGTGCTCAACAGTTTGAACTGTTGAGACAGCAGCAGGCTGCTGCTGGCGGGTCGATGCACTCGCGTCGACCCGAGACCTTGAAGATTGACATCTCAAAGTATAGGGGGTCGAAGAGGACTCCCTCTTGAGATGGTTCGTCGAATTGGATGACGCCATAAGGGCGCGTCGCATCGACGACGGGGATATGCAAGTTGCATTTGCCCAGTCAAATCTGGCAGGACGTGCCAAGACTTGGGCACTGGGGATCAAGTTGCACGACCCATATGCGTTTGGGTCGTTGGAAGTCTTCAAGTCGCGGCTCAGACAAACGTTTGAACCGCCTAGAGCTGAGTTCAGAGCTCGAACCGAACTCTTGAAGCTCAAGCAGGGTAAGCGTGATGTGCACGCTTACGCTCAACATATACGACATCTCACGAGTTGTATAAGCTCCAATCCGGTGGATGAACACACGTTGGTTTCGGTGTTCATGCAGGGTCTTGCGGATGGTCCCGTCAAGACTCACCTGTTCCGGCTTGAACTAGATTCACTAGAACAAGCCATTTCCATTGCGGAGCAGGAAGACTTCAGTCTGAGACAGGCTCGCGCCAGCTCGACATCATATCGTCAACCGAAACGATATGACAACGGAGGTGCAGAGCCGATGGAACTCTGTTATGTAGAGAGCGAGAAGGCTCGCTCTACAGGCTACAAGAAGTTGCAGAGATGCAACAGATGTCAAAAGACAGGACACTACGCTTGCGAGTGTAGTGCCCCTCGTCCAGTGTCTCGCGACACTGGGCGTAGTGACCGTCCACCCATGAGAAAGGGGCAGGGACGAGGGTCTGCAGTTGGTGCAAAGACGCAACAACGGGATGGACCGTCAAAAAAAGGACAGGATCAGTAGGTGCGGAGCACCCTACTGGTCCAGCAACGTCAAGAGAATTTGTAGGCCTCTTGGTGAAGGTTGCTCCCAACACACAAACGTTGTGCGTTGCTGCTAGGTAATGAGGTCTCACTCATTACCTTGAAACTCGAAGTGACGAATAAGTTGTCCCTTCGAGCTCTAGTCGATTGTGGGGCGTCCAACAATTTTGTGCGACGCCAATCGCTAGAAGATGGTCACTTTAAATTCAGTGCATGTGACACACCTCCTACGAGGATGACGGTACGTCTTGCGACAGGCGCATCCGTAACCGTCATGAAGCGTATAGTGAAGATCCACTATACGCTAGAAGATACCCAGTATGACGATGACTTTATCGTATTGGAATTGGATGACAAATTTGATGTCATCCTTGGAATACCGTGGCTCAGAAGGTACGAACCACGGGTAAACTGGCAACATCGGACAGTAACGATGCCTGCCGCTTGTTCATCAGATGGCCATCTGATGAACGTTTTGGAGCGTCCACAAGCGTGTGGATGTACTACGAGTGAGTGCGATGGCCTCACTTGTGGTACGGTCGTTAGTACGACTGCACAAAACCTTAGTGTACCAAACGGTTACACTTCGGAGCAAAGTTCCGGCGGCTGTGAGGAAACACAGGCTGCGCCGAAGGTCCACCACTCGAATAAGTCGGGTGGACTGGGACAAAGATGTATCCCTAGCGGGGAACATCTAGAAGAGAAACGATCGATCGCTCAGGTTAAGCGAAACGATAATCCTAGATCGACTGGAGAGTCTTTCGTAGAGGATCTCGCTGTGGTTGCGCAACCCCAGCTAGAGGAAGTAAAGGGAATAAGTACCAAGATTACAAATACGGCGGAAATAAGCTCCCCGAAACCCGCGGGAATAAGTCCCCGGGAAGACGAAGGAATAAGTCCTTCGAAGCCTGAGGAAATAAGTCCCCAGGAAATGACAGAGACATTGAATGTCATAGTCAATAACGGATCAAGTGTAGGCGCTTATACACTTGATCTGATTGCGCCTCCGAAGTTAACTTCGGAGATCACTCAGTTGCCAACGCTCGAACATAAAAGGTTCTTGCGTGATCTGCGTAGTGGCAAAGTCAAGCAGATCTGCGTACTGGTCGCTGACGACGAGTGCGTAGCCGACATAAGGTCAGCAACAGTGTTTACTGAGAACGAGAGAGTTCTCAGTAGTTCATCTATGGACGAGAGTGTCCTCGATGAAAAGACACGAATTGAGCGATATGACTCCCAATCGTGGGAATCGCTCAAGACAAATCCTCTCTATAAGATTTGGTTGAATTCAAGGATGTATTCCCTGAAGCTGTTCCGTGCGAATTACCGAAGGATAAAGGTATTCGACACGAGGTCGAGCTTAAACCAGGCTCGAAGTACTGTGTCATGAAGCAGTGGCCACTGCCTCGTCAACAAGTACTTGCGATCGACAAATTCTTTGCCGATCGTTTAGCTGCAGGCCATGTGAGGGAATCAACTTCCCCACATAGCTCTCCGACCTTCTGTGTGCAAAAAGCAACAGGAGGGTGGCGGATAGTGCATGCATTCAACAAGTTGAATGCTGCAACGGTACCGTCTCAGACGCCGATACCGAGGAAGGACGTAATCATTGATGATATTTCAAAGAGTACCATCTTTTCGTCTATGGATTTGATGGATGTCTTCTATCAAATCCTTCTGCGAGAACGGGATATACCCTATACCGCAGTTAGCACGCCTTGCGGCATGCTCTGGGAATGACTAGTAATGCCACAAGGGCTTAGTAATGCCCCTGCCACGTTCAACAGATGTGTATCACATCTGTTGAGACCAGTACGAGAATTCGCGCCGAGTTATTTCGATGACGTATTCATCCATGGTCGAGCTATGGATGGAAAGTCGGATGTTGAGGTTCACAGGTACCACGTCCTACAGGTTCTTACAATCATGCGAAAGCATCAATTGTATGCTAACCTCAAGAAGTGTATATTTGCAGCAAGCGAAATACCACTTCTTGGGTGCATCGTTGGTAAGAACGGTGTACGTCCTGATCCCGAAAAGATCAAGGTGATCACCGACTGGCCTGTGCCGGTTGATGTCAAAGGTCTTCGAAAATTCCTTGGGCTAGCGGCGTATTTGCATAAGCATTCACGCAATTACGCCGAGATGACTGTGCACCTCTCTCGTTTGTTGAAAAAGAACGAGAGGTGGTTATGGAACGCTGAATGTCAGCGCTCCTTTGAGGGTATCAAGCAGAGCTTGATACAATCCCCAGTCCTAGCAATAGCCGATCAGGACAGGCCATTTCATGTGGTCTGTGATGCCAGCGATTTCGCAATCGGCTGTGCATTAATGCAGTACGATCTTGAAGGCGTTGAACGCGTCGTCTGCTATCAGTCGCGTCAGCTGCAACCGGCTGAGCGGAACTATCCAGTGCATGACAAGGAACTCCTTGCCATGAAGTATGCACTCGCGAAGTTCAGAGTCTATCTATTAGGAGATAGACCCTTCGTTGTTTACACTGACCATGCGTCATTACGCACGGCAGTGGACAGCCCGCACCTTTCACAACGAATGGCGCGGTGGTTGTCATTCTTTGCGGGATACAACTTTACGGTCGAGTACAAACCAGGACGACTCAATGTCGTCGCTGATGCACTCTCACGTCGTCCCGACTTTGAAACAGTCGCGAAACCCAACAGTGAGACAGTCACTGTTGCGGTTATGACGTCCTCAGTCCCATCTACAACGTTGTATGATGATGTGAGGCGGGCATACGCCCAAGATGGTGAGATTGTGAAGTTGTTGACACATCTCTCCCAACCATCCCGAGAATCGTTGAAACGATTGTCGCCTGCGTATCGATCTGCATCAGATCGATACACTACTCGTAACGGTTTACTGTATTATACAGCCGTTTCTGGTGACACACCACGTGTTGTCATTCCAGATGATACTGATCTGCGTTTGCGGATCATGTTCGAGTATCATGATGCTCATATAGGAGGACATCGTGGCCGAGAGAAAACATATCTCACGGTAAGTCGAGACTTTTACTGGCCCCGCCAGTATCAGTTTGTGCGAAAGTATGTTCGCGCATGCGAAGTCTGTCAACGAGTGAAGTCAAGTCCTTCACTGCGTGCACCATTACAGCCTCTACCGGTTCCGGCTGAGTGCTGGGAATCCATCTCAATGGATTTCGTCTTCGGGTTACCCAAAGACGCACGCGGGAATACGGGTATTCTCGTATTTGTTGACAGATTCAGCAAAATGGTACACCTTGTGGCTGTACCAGAGACAATCACGGCAAGTGGCTGTGCTTGTGTCTTTATTGACACCATCTTCCGACTTCATGGGTTGCCCCGTGAACTCGTATCAGACAGAGATCCACGATTCACTGCTGATTTCTGGCGTTCCGTGTTCAAATCACTCGGAACGCGCTTGAAAATGTCAACATCTGATCATCCAGAGTCAGATGGTCAGACGGAACGTGCCAATCGTGTCCTTGAAGAGATACTTCGAGGATACGTACACTCCTTTAAGAGTTGGAGTGAGTTTTTGCCAATGGTAGAGTTTGCCATCAACAACTCGGTGCATGCGTCCACGACACATACACCGTTTTACGTGAATGGCTTGCGCCATCCGCGTGTACCCACCTTACTAGAGTGTAACTCTGGTTTAAAGGGGGGAGGGACTCGCGCGAGCAAAAACCGATTTGGTTCACGCTCATCACGCTCTGACGAAGAAGTCATTGCGTTTGATGCCGATATCGATAACATCGATATCGAAGAAGATGATGCCAGTGAGAGTGCGGAAGCCCTCACTGAAGAAAAGGTTGATGTTGCTGCAGTGCGCTCACAGCGCACTGAAGCTAACGAGTCATCAGATGAGTTCATACTGGCTCGTGAAACGGTAGTCCGTTTTGTGCAAGACTCCATCGCCGAAGCGGTGGATAAGCAAAAGCAAAACGCTGACAAGAATGGAAGGGCAAACACTCTTTTATTTAATAAAGGTGACTTAGTCCTACTGTCTACGGTTAATCTACCAAAGCATGTAGTGACTAACTTGGGTAGCAGTAAACTACTACCCAAGTACATCGGCCCATTTCGTGTATTGCACCGCCTGGGCAATGCATACACGATCGAGTTACCACGTAAGATGCGAACGCATCCCACGTTTTACGTTGGTCGGCTTAAGCCGTACCATCAGTACGCCGCTTCTTCCGATGAAGAACGCCCTTGCGCTCAAGCATCTCGCAGAGAGCCTTGTGCTCCCGATGGTGGGCATCAACGAGGGTCTGAAGAGCAGCTATCTCATCCCGAGACCGATCAACAATCCCACGAGCTACCCTTAGCTCGTCACGAAGAGATGTCAGAGATCTCTCGTTCTCAAGATGAGCAAAGGCAAACTCAGATCGATGCTTCGAGGCAGTGTCCGCCATTTGGAGACGCCTATTCCGCCCATGTTCGAGATCGTCGCGTAACCCTTGCGTTACGCGATCAAAGAAGCTCTCGGGAACACACCGATCCACATGATCGTGTGGAGAGCGTCTTTCCTCCTCCTCCACCTCCATTAGAGGACTCTCGCGGTGGCCAGCGCTATCTAGTTGAGCAGCTGTTGAACCACCGCGACGTGAACGGACGTCGGACGAGTTATCTCGTCCGGTGGCGCGGCTATCCCCCGTCCTGGGATTCTTGGGAGCCCCGCTCCCAACTAATGGTCGACGTACTGGGTCTGGTTGAGCAGTACGACGCGGCACATCCTGTGCCGCAGAAGGACCGCCGGAGAAAGTCTTCCCGGCACGGTCGTAAAGGGATTTCAGGTTGTCAATCCCTTCGTACATCTCAGTAGAGACACGTACGCGCCACCACGGGCTGGTAAGGAGGTAAGCCTCCTTAGGTGCTCGTGCAGAGTTGTTCACACAACACGGGCACGAGTCTCCCCAAGAGAGGCAGGGTAATCCTTTCTCCCTTGACAGACGATGCAGCTTGTAGCGTGCACCTGTCAGGGTTCGCTTTTCAAACTTATCACGAGCTTTGATAAGTTTGTCGTTCCAAGCGTCACGACCTACATCTTCAAGGTTATGGGTGTAGGCGTTCCACGCCTGAAGCAATGAGGGACCATCACGCTTGTGATTCCCACTGTACCATCGATGTCTAAAGAAAGCATCGATGAAGAATTCATTCTCAGCGCGATAGTTTTTCGCGCTGGGGTCAAGGTGATGGATCCTTGACGAATCGAACAATCGTGTTCGATAACGATCACTCGTCGTCGCCGACAAGTGATCCATGACGGATTTGGGAGGCATCCATGCCTTCTTCTCAGGAGCGAGACGCAACACATTGCGGTCCCGCTCTTCCTGCGATGTGCCGACAGAAGTACTGGCACCTCGTTGCGAAGTGGTGTCCATAGGAGAACCGACACCACTGTTAGCGCCCGAGTTTCGCGACCTCGAGCGCCTATGCTTCGGCGATGGTTCATCTGGTTCATCAGATGAACCAAAGATGCTACGACGCAAAGCATCAGCCATGCCACGCTTGGCAGGCGGCTTGGATTCGATCGCCGTCGATACGGATCCGTCTTCCGTATCAGGAGAGTACGAGACACCGAGCTCGTACTCTGTGAAGACATGAGCGTCTTCATGACCAGCGCCTGCATCACCAAGTGACACAGGCTGGGTCGCTTCAGCAACCGATGAGACATCAGTTGCTGTGGTTTCTGCTTCGGCGTCCGCACAGAGACGTGCGGACGCGCTCTCGGCGGCCTTGCTCGCGCATCGCATGGGCTTGTTAACCATGCGATGAAATGTTGAAAAGTGGAAAGTGGACTCGGACCAACAAGTGCAAACCCTGTCCCAAATGATTTGGGACGAGTATCCATTTAGTCAATCAGTCACTAAAGTGACTGATGGTTAAGGGGGGGGGTGATGTAACGGGGTGAACTGTTACATAACAATTTATAAGAAATTGTTAATAGAATATAACTATAAGAGTTATATTCTCAGAATGTTGTCATAAGGACAAATATTCTGTAGCACTTACGAGTAGTTCCTAATTGGTTGATATAGGCCATTATATCAACCAACGAAGACGCGCCACGACAGACGCACGCAATGAGTGGTGAGCAGATAGTTGATTTACACATTTGTATTTAGACATAGTTAGATGAAGATAAATAGTGATTTATTGCAGACATTAACTATACTAAATACAGTTCTACTTTTTTACTCTAACCAAGTACTCGCTTCTTCTTACCGTCTTCCTCTGCACGTACGAGTGTACGTGAAGTTACGAGGCACCGCCTTATTCTGTCATTAGAATAAGTGGCTTGTACTGTCACCAGTACAAGCTTCAGGGTGCCCCGTTACAGAAAAGACGACTGGAGGAGAGCGATAGCTAGCAAGGCATGAGCGAGCGAGCAAGTGAAAGGCAGTAGACAGAATCTTATCAACCTCCTAGTGCTTCAACGAACGTTTTGATACAGGTTACGAGCCTAATGGCTGGAGCCACATTCGCAACTACGAAGACGCCAGGTGGCGTCGTGCGACCCGCGCCTGGACGCGGATCGCCAGAGCGAGTCCCACCGATGGATCGAGCGCCCGCAGTTGTCGGTGTCTCGCCCGCTCGCGAAAGGATCGAGGCGAATGACGATAAGATCCTCGCCGCCCTCGTCGGCTTGACGGAACGCCTGGCGAAGCTTAAGTCGTCGCAGCGCGTCGCGACGAAGACGAACGGATGCTCGGCGCTGTTGAAAGTGGCATGTTCGCTTCCGCCCTTGGCGCAAACATGCGCGGTCGACCGATGAACACCGATGCGCTTAAGTCACCGGAGCAGTAGCCAGTAGCTTACCCGGCGCGAGCGCGAGCGCCGAATGATGGCGTGTCGATGTTTGCGTCCCTGGCACCACCGCGCGGACAAGCGCCACCCCAGCAGCGATTACCCGCGCAAGCAGCAGCAGCAGGAGCCCAGCAGCAAGCAGGAGGGATGGACTACATCTCGACACCGACTGTGAGATAGAGAAAGTTATCAATTCGAAAGTTCGACGGGACCGAGCTCTACCGAAGGCTGGGTAGTGGTTTTTGACTGGTTACGTGCGTTCTTGCGCGCGATCAAGCTCGTCGAGTTGTCATGTGGCTTCCTCTGGTCGGAAGACGTGGAGGTCGACCTTCTCGGCCATTTATTTCGGGGACAGCGGAACGCTACGGCCACAAGCAAGTGGACACGTGGTGGATGCAACAACCGACGCTCGACTACGTCATGTGTCAGCTGCTGGCGACGTTCAAGTCGAAGATTAAGGCTAGCTAAGAGATGAAGCTCTTCATGACGAAGAAAGAGGCAAAGCGAACGTGGTCATAGCATTTCCTCTAATGGTCGCCGTGAGCGACGCGCGCGGTGGAGCGGACTCGCTCGTCCTGGACAACATCGTCCATCACGCGTCGCCCGAGCTCATGAACGTGATGAGGGCCAAGTACGACCCCACGCGGTCCAACTACCTGCGCCACGCGGATGAGCTGGCGCAGTTCGCGCAGTTGATCGAGCACGGTAGTGGCGCGGTATGACGCGAAGTCGTCGCAGCGCCCGTTGACGCGCGACGGGAGAAGCGAACCTGCTTTAATTGAGGAAAGGTCGGGCACTTGCAGCGAAACGGCCGCGCTAAGAACGCTGCGGTGGACTAGGAGCAGGTTGAAAGCAGTTTGCGGGGTAGGATGCTGCTCGCGCTGAAGGAGATGCCAAACAAAGTTGCAGGAAGCAGCAACCCCCACGCCGGCAAAGCATTACGACTACGGCGGAGGGAGCAACAGATCGCAATCCACGCCGAGCAAAAATCCCGCGCGCTTGGGGAAGTGGAGCCGTGGCAAGAAGACGAGCGAGTTCGTGCTCGCGATAGGCGACGCCGACAAGAGCGATCAAAGAGGCTGTATCCTCGGCAGTGGTGCTAGCCGCCACCTTGTGAGTGACGAGCAACAGCTGGTCGATTCGAGAGAGTGCAACAAAGGGATTGCCATGGCGGACGGCGTGCCGCTCCAGCTGACGAGATGTAGCAGCGTGCGACTGAACGTCATCGAGAACGGCGCAGCGGCGACCGTGACGCATACCAACGTCTACCTGGCGCCGAGACTGGCAAAGAATATCGTATCCTACGGGAAACTCTAGCGTTAAGGGTTCGCGCTCGTGTATGAAGAAGACAAGCGTTCGATCGCACGGCGCAGTGACTGCGCTGTCGTGTTTGACGTGTTAATGAAAAGCAACGTGTTGTACGTGCAGAACACGACAGCAAAACAACAGGGGGAATCTAGCGGCGCCATTATGTCGGCAGTTGAGTCAGGCGCAGTCGGGGATGTCGCAGCCGACGTCCAAGAGGGCACACTGCTTTATATCCACCAGCGGGGGCGCACTTGGCGTTTGACACCATCAAGCGGATGGCGAGCGACCCGTCGTCTGGAAAACGCCTTACGAGCCACCGACGCATGGCATGTGTGTCTTGCATGGAGGGCAAGCAGACGCGCAACGTGCAGCCGCAGCAAGACAGCAGCGAGAACGCGCCGATGGACCGCATTGGCGGCGTGATCTGTTTGAGCCTAAAGGGTCTGATGGCGCCTCAAGATAGCCTCAAGAATCGAGATCTATTCAACTTCGTTGACAGCAAGAACAACTACTACAGGATCTTCCTCGCGCGGACGAAGGACTCCGCAGCGAAGCACTTCGAGGCTTTGCTGGCGCGGTTCGAGAAGCGATTCGACTGTAGGATCCACGTGCTCCGCACCGACGGCGGAGGCGAGTACGCCAACGTGTACCTTTTCTGCAAGCGCACCGGAGTGGCGTGGGAGCGATGAACCAAGCGTCTAACGGGAAGGCGGAGCGTATGCACCGCACGATTCTCAACCTCGCGCGAAGCGTGATATTCGCTGATATTCGCCTGCGCGCTTCCACTTCAACTTCTGGGGCACGCTGCGTTGTATGCGGTGTACGTGCTAAACAGGAGCCTCACGCGCTCAAACCCAAAAGCGTGTGTCGCCGTTCGAATTGCTGACGGGCACCGCGCCTGACTTGTGGCAGATCGTCTTCTACGGGTCACAATGCTACGTCTACCGCGACCCACGCAAGAACTCGCTGGCGCAGCGATCGCACATCGGGACGATCATCGGGATCAGCAACGAGACCAAAGGGTACAAGGCCTGGTTGAGGAACGAAGGCAAGGTTATCGTCACCCAGCACGTCAAACGAATCAAAACGATGACTGAGACTCAGAACGCGCAGCTGCAATGCGCAATTGACAGCGACGACCGAGCCGAAGCTGCGGAGGAGACAGCGCAAGAGATAGATGAGTAAGCGGTGCCGAAAAAATACGTAATAACCAAGGTGAAGAAGACGTGGGCTCGACAGGCACAAGGCTCGACAGACACACGGCACGGGTGGCGCGACAAAGCGCGCTCAAGCAGCAGTCCGTCAGGAGGAGCCAGAAGCTGGTGAGGACGTCGTGAGTGCGGCGTTTAAACGTGACCCGCAGAACTACGCCAAGGCTATGCGAAGTACCAGCGAGACGGCTAGGTGAAAGCGATGGAAGAAGAGGTTGTAGCTCTGCAGGACAACGACTTCTGGAAAATACGCGACGAGCGCCCAATTGTAATGCTCTGCATACTAAATGGGTGTAAAAACGAAGACAACTGCCGATGGCGAGCTGTAGCGGCTCAAGGCGCGACTCGTGGCCTGTGGAAATGAGCAATTGATCGGAGTCAACTGAAGGATCACGTTCGCAGCAGGGGTGGATTTCTCGACCGTGAAGGTCATCTTCGCGCTTGCTGCCACGTGGGGGTGCCTGCCAAGCATGGAGACATCCCTAACGCGTACGTCAAGGCGGCCAAAGAGGCGCACTTGCGGATCTACCTTCATCTGCCGCTCGGCATGAGTGTAACCAGTGCGACTCTACGAAAACACGGCGCGGCAAGCTCGAAAGAGCTCGCTCTTGAGATCCGGAAGAGCCTGTACGGGCTCAAGCAAGCCGGGCGGCTATGGAGCCAGCTTCTCCGCACCGAGATATCGGCCGCAGTTTTTTGGCGCTGCGAAAGCGACATTTGCCTCTATTGAAAGCGAGACGGTACGGATCTCGTCGTCGTCGTTGGAGTGTACGACGATGACCTCCTCGCAGCCGGGACGAGTGCCGCTGCGATCTATTGCTTCTTTGGCAGCCTCGCATCGCTTTCGATTAAGGACTTGGGCCGTGCCAGCAAGTTTATCGGGATGCGCGTGCAGCTAAGCGACGACGGAGGGTATCGCCTGGACTGGGATGAGGCGATTGGCGGCCTCCTGTGGAGCAACGGGCTTACAGACGCGAATGCGACGCTAACGCCGACCGTAGACGATATCAACGCTGAGCAGCCAAGCGACGCGGAGCTCGTTGGATCAGCGAATGCGCCTCCGGAACCGACAGTGCGTGCATTTCAATCTCTGGTCGGTTCGCTCCTTAGTGTCGCGCGCTATACGCGCCCCGTTATTGACTTGCGGTTTCTAAAGCGACGCGGCAGACGCACGCTTCGCACGTGCTTGACTGGAGTTTGGCGAAGCGCATTGCGCGCTATCTGAAGGGGACTGCAACGCTGAAGCTCACGATGAAGCCTTCTCGAGATGACAATGCAGCGCTGCGACATGACGCGTTCAGTGACGCGACTTTGCGGGCGATAGGGCAGACAGAAAGTCGGTGACGGGCGTCGTGCTCCTACTGAATAATATGCCGGTAATCTGGGGCGCGCGCAAGCAGGGTGGTGTGTCGCTGTCGACGATAGAGGCGGAATTTGTGGCTGCCAGCGAGATCGCGCGGAAAATAATAGGGGTGCGAGAGATGCTAATGGAAATCGGGGTTGCGCCAGCGCTGCCCATGCAGCTGCAAGTCGACAACCATGCGATTATAAGCCAGATTGCTGGCGAAGCGTCGTCGTTGAAGGCAAGCACGTGGACGTCCGCCACAAGCTCTTATGCGATTTCGCTCGACTTGGAATTATTGAAGCGCGCTACGTCAGGACCGAGAAGATGTTTGCGGACCTGCTGACAAAGGCACTGGATGGAAATGAGCTTAGGATGTTGTGCGAGCTTGTGAAGATTGGTTAGAAGATGGATGGCGTTTAAGGATTATATACAGAGGTGAGATTACGGAGGAGCACTTAATGAGGAGTGTTGAAAAGATGACATTATGGCGATTAGCGCCAGCCGTTCTGCTGGGAGATAGGTGCAGAACGTGTACAGAATAGATGACTGAAAGAGAGCGATAGATAGCAAGGCAGGAGAGAACGAGCAGGTGAAAGGCAGTAGACATAATCTTATCAACCTCCTACTGCGTCAACGAACGTTTTGCTGCAAATCAACCTTGCACTGTCAGCAGTGCAAGGATATGTGCGTCCGACTACTTCGCGTACATTCGTGCAAAGGAAGACTAGCTTATGAACGACGCATTCAATAGGAACAAAAAGTAGAAGCGAATTAAAAGTAAATAAGTCATGATTATTATCAATCTAAGTCCCAGTCCTAACTTGATCATATCTATCGACAAAAGTGTATAGAAAAGTCTTGCTTACCGCTCATTGCGCGCGTCTATCGTTGATTGGACCGCTAGAGCTGGCTGATATGATGGCCCGTATTATTCAATTGCGAGTGCTTTGGAATGTTACCCCACATGTCAATATTCACGAGCATTATCGACCTTAATGATAGTACTCTAATTAACAAGTATCGGAGTTAATTACATGTAACAGGCTCAACCCGTTACATAAACCCTTTTTTAAACGATAGTTGCTGAGTCGCCATTAAGTAAAGTGATCACCGTTAGACCACATAAGGGACAGGTAGCGCTAGTCTTTGTTTGATACATTCATTTTTATCACTTCATCGGATGGTTAATAGTCCACGCGATGCGTTGTGGAAGCTTCTAAGAAGGCAGCTGCGCAAGATTATGCAACTGCTCTTGACGATGCCCAGCCTCTTGCGGCAGACAATGCTTCATCTTCTGCCGCTTTAAATCGTCCTGCATCACCAGTTGCTGCAGAGGCACGTGGTGTGTCGCCACGTGCTGATGATGATCGTGGTTACCAAGTGGATCCTATCTATTCGAGGAAGTCGAACGGTGGGTCCGACTAGAAGAAGACGCCTAGGTAGTCTAAGTCTGTAAGAGCGATTACGAGACTACGAGTAAGACTCGAGCAATTAGTCGGGACCATGGTCACTATGAGATCCTGTTTACTTCGGAGGATGGATATTCCGACTCATCTCCTGTGTTTTCGAATGCGCATTCGCTTCCTGGAGAATGCGGTGGCGTGCTGCAACGTCGTGATGACGATCGTAGTGGTACCAAGACTTCCGTTGGTACCACGCAGGAGTCTCTAGACGGCAATGTGCTGCGTTTAGACCTTTAACACAAGCCTTGGGTACTACCAGAAAGCCTTGTGAGTGACTTGTCAGTCGAGACAAGCCAACATCACCGCATCTCATTGTTCGATGCAAGGCTGTTGTACGGCCTTAACATCAGTGCAAGCAACTTTCGCGCTGAAGAGGACTTCTATCTTGATGCTTTTCTCAGGCATCGTTGGTATAGCGGAGACAACAAAGGAGACAAAAACTCAAGCTGCAGGCGTGGAACGCCTTCATACGCAATGTGCAGCGCATTGGGCGTGATACTTTGCTTCGTATACATGACGCAGCTCGTGTCAGGTTGAAGAAACTAGCTTTAGCGGGTGCAAAGTCAGGTTGCACCATCTGTCCCGTGAGGCAAAAATCTTATACCTCGCTTGGGAAGACCTATGTGCGCGATGTTTCGCCAACACGTAACGCATCCAAGGGACGTGCACTCCCTTTTTCGACCTGGGGTAGGGCGCACATCTCTTCTGAGATTCGCGATGCGATTGATAACCTGCAATCACTCCATCAGTGCCATGGGGCGTGTTGTCCGATGGACCTTTTGAGTCATCGGATGTGTCTCGTCGTACTGGTGAACGAGACCCTTAACGTCAACCATCAGCTGAGCGCAGGGCACCCAGCTGTCGTGCGACGGCTGATAGCCGGACCCGCAAACCAGATAACTCGTTCGCTGCACCTTCAATTTACGGTATTTCAAGATACGCTTTACGTTAAAGCGTTTGTAACCGTGCGAGTACACCAACGGCTACGGTGGGGGCGGGAAGTTCAATTTCCAATGTATGTGTTGGAGTTGAAGACGGAGCTAGATCGTGTTCAGCAACATTTACGCGATAGGTGCAATTTCACCGATCAAGAGACACATGAGCGTCTCTCTTTGGATTCGTGAGTGCAACGCGTGCACCTATATAGGTCAGATGACCGAGCGGAGTTATCGCTATACCAGTTGGAGAACTAGCAGAAGCGTCAAGCCTTTCAGCGACAAAACTATAGATCTACGTCGCCAAAATGCGGCACTACATAGCCAGGTTGAGAAACTGGATCCGTACCAAAAGAATCTCTTGAATTTTCTTGAGCGGGGCGGGTACATTCGTCCGAGGAAGAGAACTTATGCTGACAGTACAGGCGGAGACGGCGGGCATAAAAAGTAGGATGCATGCACATTCTGCGAGGCAAATCGATCATGTGCGCATTGCCTTTGCGATGTAGTACACAAAAAGGTCTGATGTACTTGGGTAGTTTATATACTACTACCCACATTAGTTACTACGTTCTTAGGTAGATTTACCTGAGACATTAGAACTAAGTCTTCGACTTTATAAAGAAGAAAGTTTTCTCTTTCATGTTTTTCAGCGTTCGATTTCTGCCGGTCCACCGCGTTAGCGACGGAGTCTTGATTAAAACGGACCACTGAATCTCTAGTCAACAGAAAGTTCTATGCTGACTCTGTTGCGTTCGTATTAGTGTGCTTGGTGCGCACCGCTAAGAGCTATCTCTCATCTTCAGCGAGGGTGTCATCAGCATCGTCGTCCCCGTCCAGGTCAGCAATAGTGTCGTCACATTTGCTGATGGTATCCTTTTCGATGTCATATTGATCGACATCGGCAACGTTCGCGTCGTCAAGTACTTTGACAGGTGATGAGCAAGAGCCAGAACGGTTTTAGCTCGAGCAAATCCCTCCACCCGTTGGCACACCTAGCAAGCACAAACATACTTGCACACAAACTGATAATGGAGGGGACAGTAAAATTTACGACTTACCGTAAGTTAAGTCTTCTCACGCCCACGTTGTCCACTGGATGTTGCATCATGGTACTCATGCAAGATGCACAGCCACAATTCGTTTTCAGTGCGGACAACAACACGAGGTGTGTCGCCGGCGGCGGCTGTACAGTACAGCAACTCGTTGCGTGCTGTGCATAGATCCGCAGAGGATAGATACAAAAAGGCCGATAAAATTTTGAGAGATTCACAACGTGGATTTAATAGATAAATCATTAGTCGCAGATGAGCCTTATCTGCTGAGTAGGAATTTTAAGGCCGTCAAGCAATGCTGACGACGGAACACTAGCAACTAGTGTTGCAGCAGTGGTTTCGATCCCACAGTTGGACTGCACAGCCGACTCGAATTCGGGTCGGCGCGATAATGCGTCCGCGACGACATTAAGTCGTCTGGGTTTGTATTCCGTAGGGAAGTTGAACCCCGCGAAAAGGGAAAGCCACCTCTACATTTTTTTTAAAAGCGCGGAGTGTTTACGGCCGTGCGTAATGATGCGTGGTCCGTATAGACTACAGATGGCCTTTTTTCTAGGTGATCGACGAGAAAATTTGCCAGTGCGTACATTTTTGGTAAGGTGTTCCTTGCCATGCACCGGATAATTACGTGCAGCTGCTTGCAGCTGACGCGACTGGTAGGAAGGCGACGCGCTCTGCGCCGTCTGCATCGTACTGCGCTAACGCGCAGCCGATTGCAAAATCGCTGGCATCACAGACCACGTGGAATGGTCTTTCTTGATCTGCAATTGCCAACACAGGCGATTTTATCAAGACTTTCTTGAGATTTGAAGGAGTGTTGACACTCAGCACTCCATGACCACCTCTCGTTTCTCTTTAGTAGACGAGAGAGATGTACGGTCATCTCGGCGTAGTTGCGCGAGTACTTGTGCAAGTACGCCTCCAAGTCAAGGAACTTTTGAAGTCCCTTGACGTCGAATGGCACAGGCCAGTCGCCAATCGTCTTGATCTTTTCCGGATCAGGGCGTACACCTGTTTTACCCACGATGCAGCCAAGAAGTGGTATTTCATTCAATGCGTATATGCACTTCTTGAGGTTCGCGAATAACTTATGCTCTCGCATTAGTGTAAAAACCTTGCGAATGTGGATTCTATGAACCTCCACGTCCGTCTTTCCATCCATAGCCCGGCTATGGACGAAGACATTGTTGAAGTAACTTGGTGCGAAATCGCGCACCGATCGCAAAAGATTCGTAACGCATCTGTTATACGTTGCGGGGGCTTTACTTAGCCCCTGTGGCCTCACTAGCCACTTCCAGAGCATATCGCTGGGAAGGCTCACCGCCGTGTACGGGATGTTCCGTTCACGCATGAGGACATGATAGAATTCGCCCATCAGATCCACGGACAAAAAGATGGTACTTAGTGCCACACCATCAATGATGATGCCCTTCCTTGGTATCGGCGTCTGAGCTGGTACCGTTGCAGCGTGCAGTTTGTTGAACGCGTGCACTAGCCGTTACCCTCCTGTGGCCTTTCGCACACAAAAGGTCGGAGCACTGTGTGGGGATGTTGATTCCCTCACATGATCCGCTGCAAAGAGATCGGCAAAGAACTTGTCAATCGCTAGTACTTGTTCATGAGGCAGTGGCCACTGCTTATGAGTTCGTACTTTGAGCCCGGTTTAAGCTCAATCTCGTGTCGAGTGCCTTTGTACCTGGGCACTTGAATGGCAAGGATTCAGAAAACACGTCCTTGAACTCGATCAAATCCTTGTACTAAGGATTCGCCTGGAGCTACTCCCAAGATTGAGGCGTGTATAGTTCAATCTGAGTCTTCTCATCGAGGGTACTTCCGCCCACCGATGAGCTGTTGAAAACCCGTTCGTTCTCGGCAAATACCACTACCGACCGAATTTAGGTCACGTACCCTTCCTCTGTGACGAGTACACAGATCTGCTTAACTTTGCCACAACGCAGATCTCGCAAAAACCGTTTCGGTTCTAGAGTTGGCAATTATGTGATTTACGAATTCTTCTTCGGAGGCGCGATTAGATTAAGTGTATAAGCGCCTATACTTGACCCGTCAGTAAAAAAGACTTAATATGTATCGGTTTCTTCCTGGGAACTCTTTTCCACAAGCTGCTGAAGACTTGTCCCACCAGGTTGATGAGTTCTCGTTACTACACCAATAACTACTTCCGTAATTTCTTTCTCAAGGACGTGAGGACGTATTTCCTCAACGTCTTCTAGCTGTGATTGCGCTAACACAGCTAGAGCTACTAAGATCGACTCTCTAGCTGATCTAAAATCATCGTGTTTCCCAGTGCGGAAAACCGGTTTGTTCTTTTCAAAATGTCGTTCGCTAGACGTACACCCGTGTCCCGATTCACTCGACTCCTTCGAGTGGTGGACCTTCGGCGCTACCTGTGATTCCGCACAGACGCCTTCATCTTCCTTTACAGCGTGAATGGCTGTCATATTGTGATCTTGTGCAGTCTTGCTAACGACCGTACCGCAAGTAGAACCATCTCGCTCACTCAAAGTACATCCACACGCTTGTGGATGCTCCAAAAGCTCATTAGATGGTTATCTGATAAAATCGTGGCAAGCATCTCTAAGGTCAAATACTATCAGTTGACCATTGGGTCGTACCTTCTGAGGCAGGGTTACCCTAGGGTGGTATCTAATTTGTCATTCATAATAAACACGATAGAAATGATCATCTTAATGCAAAACCTATAGCGTTTAGTGAAGTCCCACTACACTTTTCATCATAGTTATCGATGTGCCTGTTGCTAAGCGCACCGTCACCCTCGTCAGAGGGATATCGCGCTTAACTAAATTGAGCCTAAAATCCTCTAGCGACTGGTGACGAACAAAGTTGTTCGACGCTCCATAGTCTGCTAGGCCACGAATTGACAAATCCCCTGTCACTTCTAACCTCAAGGTGATGAGGGGTACCTAAACACCAAGTGCAGAGACACACTGATTGTGAGTCCGGAGCAACTTTCAACAATGTATTTGCAAATTCTCTTAGGGTTGCTGGATCAGCAGGGCGCTCCGCCCCTACTGATCCTGACCATTTTTTATGGTCCACTACGTTATTGCGATTTTGCAACAATGTTGTACCCGCGTCCGTTGTCCTTTTTAGCAATGGTCGATCAGACCGCTCAGTGCTTCGAGACACTGGGTGTAGGGCGCTGCACTCGTAAGCGTAGTGTCCCAAATTCTGACAGCGATTGCACTTCTGCAGTCGCTTGTTGGATAAAGAGAAAGGTTTCTTGCTCTCAACGTAACAGAGGTCCATAGGCTCTGTTCTCCGACTGCATGTCATCTTGGGAGACGATATGAACCCGAACTAGCATGAGCCTGTCTCAAGATAAATTATTCCTATTCTTTAAAGGGTATTGCTTCTTCCAGCGAATCAAGTTCCAAGCAAAGCAGGTGACGGGACCATCCACAAGACCCTGCATGAACACAGTGACTATTTTGTGTTCATTAACCGGGTTGGCCGTGATGCAACTTGCACAGAGTCGCATGTGTTGGGCGTAAGCGTGCACATCACGCTTACCCTACTTGAGTTTTAGAAGCTCTGATCGAGCTCTGAACTCAGCGATTAGCCGCTTAGAAGTTTGTTTGAGCCAAGTCTTTAAAACCTCTATCGATTAAAAAAACACAAATGGATTGTGCAATATGAGCCTTAATGCCCAGATATTGGCACGTCCAGCCAGGTTCGACTGAGCAAATGTGAATTGATTTTTCCCATCGAAGATGTGACGAGAACTTATGGCGTCGTCTAACTCGACGAACCATCTCGGCAGGGAGTCTTCCTCGACTCCTCTTTACTTTAAGATGTATATCGACAAAGTTTCGGTTCGACACGCGTGCGTCTCCCCGGGAACAGCAGCATGTGCCTGCTGTTATTTCAACAGTTTGATCTGTTGAGCACCTTGTTCTCCCAACAGCTCTGCCTGTTGAGGACCTTGCTGGTGAAACAAGGTTACTTTCTCCCGTGACTCGTCAAGTTCATGTTGTATGAACTTGGCGACAGCGGCATACTGTCCATCTCCGTCCAGTGCGGACAGCATGGCAGAGACAGCATGTTCGCCCACAGTCGAACCCATTCATTCGACCGCACTCCATTCGATATCACTCAAATAGAAATAGCTTTCACCTGTAGCGTGAAAGATGTCCCTATCATCATCCAACATGTTCATGTCGGATGCAGGGGTTACGGTCCTTGGACGAACTTCAAAGTGCTACCAGGTGTAACGGGGCACTAGTCACTGTTACTGCTTTAGTACTAGTGCACCTACACTGACAACTGTGTAGATAGTGCCGCGCGTCACGTCACGTACACTGTACGCGCAGAGGTAGTCTGGATAGTGAACGACGCGTCCAATATGATTATAAATTAAAACTGTATCAAATATGTATTAAATTCTGATCAATACCCTATATTCCAGTCCTAACTTGATCATATTAACCGACAAAAGTGTATAGTAAAGTCTTGCTTACCACTCATTGCGCGCGTCCATCGTTGATTGGACCGCTAGAGCTGGCTGATATGATGGCCCGTATTATTCAATTGGCGAGTGCTTTGGAATATTACCCCACATGTCAATATTCACGAGCATTATCGACCTTAATGATAGTACTCTAATTAACAAGTATCGGAGTTAAGCACATGTAACAGGTTCACCCCGCTACACTTGGCCAACCTCATAACATAAAAGCTCTCACATTAGTATACTTGCTGGTCTCAATTTCCAGTAGAATTACTTGATTAAAAGTGCTTCGTAAAACCATTCTTGATGCACTCGAGCATCGTAGATAGACTGCTTAATACTGTTAATATATCTGCGTAGCATGCACTTTGAAAACCTGCCGCAGCTTGGCTAAGTTGACTATTGATGCTCCGTCATTGCTTGACCTTCTTTTTTCTGCTAACTTATTCCATAATTTTGGTGGCTCAAGATATCCAATGACTGCTGGTAACATTTAGTAATCAACGATTTGTTGTACAAATTCGAAATTGTTTTGACATGGCCTTTTGCGAGATCACTGCTATTGACGACCCTCTTTTTTTTGTTTTTTTGTTTAGGCTTCATTGGACATCATAAAGTCCGTATTTACCACTTACATTCAACTGTCCTTACTTGTAACGGGGTGAATCGTTACATAACAATTTATAAGAAATTGTTAATAGAATATAACTATAAGAGTTATATTCTCAGAATATTGTCATAAGGACAAATATTCTGTAGCACTTACAAGTAGTTCCTAATTGGTTGATATAGGCCATTATATCAACCAACGAAGACGCGCCACGACAGACGCACGCAATGAGTGGTGAGCAGATAACTGATTTACACATTTGTATTTAGACATAGTTAGATGAAGATAAATAGTGATTTATTGCAGACATTAACTATTATAAATACAGTTCTACTTTTTACTCTAACCAAGTACTCGCTTCTTCTTACCGTCTTCCTCTGCACGTACGAGTGTACGTGAAGTTACGAGGCACCGCCTTATTCTGTCATCAGAATAAGTGGCTTGTACTGTCACCAGTACAAGCTTCAGGGTGCCCCGTTACACCTGGTAGCACTTCGTAGTCCGTCCAAGGACCGCGTTCACATCCAACATGAATATGTTGGATGATGAAGATGACCAAGGCTTTCACGCTACGCGTGACGGCTACCCCCATTTGAGCGATGTCGAATGGGATGCGGTTGAACGAATGGGTTCGACCATGGGCATCCATGCTGTTAGCGTCATGCTAGAGGCTCTCAATAGAGATGCCCAACATGCTACTATCGCCAAGTTCATTCAAAATGAACTTGACGCAGAACGCGAGAAAGTAGCCTTGCTTCACCAACAAGGTTCTCAACAAGCAGAGTTGTTGAGAGAACAGGGTGCTCAACAGTTTGAACTGTTGAGACAGCAGCAGGCTGCTGCTGGTGGGTCGATGCACTCGCGTCGACCCGAGACTTTGAAGATTGACATCTCCAAGTATAGGGGGTCGAAGAAGACTCCCTCTTGAGATGGTTCGTCGAATTGGATGACGCCATAAGGGCGCGTCGCATCGACGACGGGGATATGCAAGTTGCATTTGCCCAGTCAAATCTGGCAGGACGTGCCAAGACTTGGGCACTGGGGATCAAGTTGCACGACCCATATGCGTTTGGGTCGTTGGAAGTCTTCAAGTCGCGGCTCAGACAAACGTTTGAACCGCCTAGAGCTGAGTTCAGGGCTCGAACCGAACTCTTGAAGCTCAAGCAGGGTAAGCGTGATGTGCACGCTTACGCTCAACACATACGACATCTCACGAGTTGTATAAGCTCCAATCCGGTGGATGAACACACGTTGGTTTCGGTGTTCATGCAGGGTCTTGCGGATGGTCCCGTCAAGACTCACCTGTTCCGGCTTGAACTAGATTCACTAGAACAAGCCATTTCCATTGCGGAGCAGGAAGACTTCAGTCTGAGACAGGCTCGCGCCAGCTCGACATCATATCGTCAACCGAGACGATATGACAACGGAGGTCCAGAGCCGATGGAACCCTGTTATGTAGAGAGCGAGAAGGCTCGCTCTACAGGCTACAAGAAGTTGCAGAGATGCAACAGATGTCAAAAGACAGGACACTACGCTTACGAGTGTAGTGCCCCTCGTCCAGTGTCTCGCGACACTGGGCGTAGTGACCGTCCACCCATGAGAAAGGGGCAGGGACGAGGGTCCGCAGTTGGTGCAACGACGCAACAACGGGATGGACCGTCAAAAAACGGACAGGATCAGTAGGTGCGGAGCACCCTACTGGTCTAGCAACGTCAAGAGAATTTGTAGGCCTCTTGATGAAGGTTGCTCCCAACACACAAACGTTGTGCGTTGCTGCTCTAGGTAATGAGGTCTCACTCATTACCTTGAAACTCGAAGTGACGAATAAGTTGTCCCTTCGAGCTCTAGTCGATTGTGGGGCGTCCAACAATTTTGTGCGACGCCAATCGCTAGAAGATGGTCGCTTTAAATTCAGTGCATGTGACACACCTCCTACGAGGATGACGGTACGTCTTGCGACAGGCGCATCCGTAACCGTCATGAAGCGTATAGTGAAGATCCACTATACGCTAGAAGATACCCAGTATGACGATGACTTTATCGTATTGGATTTGGATGACAAATTTGATGTCATCCTTGGAATACCGTGGCTCAGAAGGTACGAACCACGGGTAAACTGGCAACATCGGACAGTAACGATGCCTGCCGCTTGTTCATCAGATGGCCATCTGATGAACGTTTTGGAGCGTCCACAAGCGTGTGGATGTACTACGAGTGAGTGCGATGGCCTCACTTGTGGTACGGTCGTTAGTACGACTGCACAAAACCTTAGTGTACCAAACGGTTACACTTCGGAGCAAAGTTCCGGCGGCTGTGAGGAAACACAGGCTGCGCCGAAGGTCCACCACTCGAATAAGTCGGGTGGACTGGGACAAAGATGTATCCCTAGCGGGGAACATCTAGAAGAGAAACGATCGATCGCTCAGGTTAAGCGAAACGATAATCCTAGATCGACTGGAGAGTCTTTCGTAGAGGATCTCGCTGTGGTTGCGCAACCCCAGCTAGAGGAAGTAAAGGGAATAAGTCCCAAGATTACAAATACGGCGGAAATAAGTTCCCCGAAACCCGCGGGAATAAGTCCCCGGGAAGACGAAGGAATAAGTCCTTCGAAGACTGAGGGAATAAGTCCCCAGGAAATGACAGAGACATTGAATGTCATAGTCAATAACGGATCAAGTGTAGGCGCTTATACACTTGATCTGATTGCGCCTCCGAAGTTAACTTCGGAGATCACTCAGTTGCCAACGCTCGAACATAAAAGGTTCTTGCGTGATCTGCGTAGTGGCAAAGTCAAGCAGATCTGCATACTCGTCGCTGACGACGAGTGTGTAGCCGACATAAGGTCAGCAACAGTGTTTACTGAGAACGAGAGAGTTCTCAGTAGTTCATCTATGGACGAGAGTGTCCTAGATGAAAAGACACGAATTGAGCGATATGACTCCCAATCATGGGAATCGCTCAAGACAAATCCTCTCTATGAAGATTTGGTTGAATTCAAGGATTTATTTCCTGAAACTGTATTGTGCGAATTACCGAAGGATAAAGGTATTCGACACGAGGTCGAGCTTAAACCAGGCTCGAAGTACTGTGTCATGAAGCAGTGGCCACTGCCTCGTCAACAAGTACTTGCGATCGACAAATTCTTTGCCGATCGTTTAGCTGCGGGCCATGTGAGGGAATCAACTTCCCCACATAGCTCTCCGACCTTCTGTGTGCGAAAAGCAACAGGAGGGTGGCGGATAGTGCACGCGTTCAACAAATTGAACGCTGCAACGGTACCGGCTCAGACGCCGGTACCGAGGAAGGACGTAATCATTGATGGTATGTCAAAGAGTACCATCTTTTCGTCCATGGATTTGATGGATGGCTTCTATCAAATCCTTATGCGGGAACGGGATATACCCTATACCGCAGTTAGCACGCCTAGCGGCATGCTCTGGGAATGGCTAGTAATGCCACAAGGGCTTAGTAATGCCCCTGCCACGTTCAACAGATGTGTATCACATCTGTTGAGACCAGTACGAGAATTCGCGCCGAGTTATTTCGATGACGTATTCATCCATAGTTGAGCTATGGATGGAAAGTCGGACGTTGAGGTTCACAGGTACCACGTCCGACAAGTTCTTACAATAATGCGAAAGCATCAATTGTATGCTAACCTCAAGAAGTGTATATTTGCAGCAAGCGAAATACCACTTCTTGGGTGCATCGTTGGTAAGAACGGTGTACGTCCTGATCCCGAAAAGATCAAGGCGATCACCGACTGGCCTGTGCCGGTTGATGTCAAAGGTCTTCGAAAATTCCTTGGGCTAGCGGCGTATTTGCGTAAGTATTCACGCAATTACGCCGAGATGACTGTGCACCTCTCTCGTTTGTTGAAAAAGAACGAGAGGTGGTTATGGAACGCTGAATGTCAACGCTCCTTTGAGGGTATCAAGCAGAGCTTGATACAATCCCCAGTCCTAGCAATAGCCGATCAGGACAGGCCATTTCATGTGGTCTGTGATGCCAGCGATTTCGCAATCGGCTGTGCATTAATGCAGTACGATCTTGAAGGCGTTGAACGCGTCGTCTGCTATCAGTCGCGTCAGCTGCAACCAGCTGAGCGGAACTATCCAGTGCATGACAAGGAACTCCTTGCCATGAAGTATGCACTCGCGAAGTTCAGAGTCTATCTATTAGGAGATAGACCCTTCGTTGTTTACACTGACCATGCGTCATTACGCACGGCAGTGAACAGCCCGCACCTTTCACAACGAATGGCGCGGTGGTTGTCATTCTTTGCGGAATACAACTTTACGGCCGAGTACAAACCAGGACGACTCAATGTCGTCGCTGATGCACTCTCACGTCGTCCCGACTTTGAAACAGTCGCGAAACCCAACAGTGAGACAGTCACTGTTGCGGTTATGACGTCCTCAGTCCCATCTACAACGTTGTATGATGATGTGAGGCGGGCATACGCCCAAGATGGTGAGATTGTGAAGTTGTTGACACATCTCTCCCAACCATCCCGAGAATCGTTGAAACGATTGTCGCCTGCGTATCGATCTGCATCAGATCGATACACTACTCGTAACGGTTTACTGTATTATACAGCCGTTTCTGGTGACACACCACGTGTTGTCATTCCAGATGATACTGATCTGCGTTTGCGGATCATGTTCGAGTATCATGATGCTCCTATAGGAGGACATCGTGGCCGAGAGAAAACATATATCACGGTAAGTCGAGACTTTTACTGGCCCCGCCAGTATCAGTTTGTGCGAAAGTATGTTCGCGCATGCGAAGTCTGTCAACGAGTGAAGTCAAGTCCTTCACTGCGTGCACCATTACAGCCTCTACCGGTTCCGGCTGAGTGCTGGGAATCCATCTCAATGGATTTCGTCTTCGGGTTACCCAAAGACGCACGCGGGAATACGGGTATTCTCGTATTTGTTGACAGATTCAGAAAAATGGTACACCTTGTGGCTGTACCAGAGACAATCACAGCAAGTGGCTGTGCTTGTGTCTTTATGGACACCATCTTCCGACTTCATGGGTTGCCCCGTGAACTCGTATCAGACAGAGATCCACGATTCACTGCTGATTTCTGGCGTTCCGTGTTCAAATCACTCGGAACGCGCTTGAAGATGTCAACATCTGATCATCCAGAGTCAGATGGTCAGACGGAACGTGCCAATCGTGTCCTTGAAGAGATACTTCGAGGATACGTACACTCCTTTAAGAGTTGGAGTGAGTTTTTGCCAATGGTAGAGTTTGCCATCAACAACTCGGTGCATGCGTCCACGACACATACACCGTTTTACGTGAATGGCTTGCGCCATCCGCGTGTACCCACCTTACTAGAGTGTAACTCTGGTTTAAGGGGGAGGGACTCGCGCGAGCAAAAACCGATTTGGTTCACGCTCATCACGCTCTGACGAAGAAGTCATTGCGTTTGATGCCGATATCGATAACATCGATATCGAAGAAGATGATGCCAGTGAGAGTGCGGAAGCCCTCACTGAAGAAAAGGTTGATGTTGCTGCAGTGCGCTCACAGCACACTGAAGCTAACGAGTCATCAGATGAGTTCATACTGGCTCGTGAAACGGTAGTCCGTTTTGTGCAAGACTCCATCGCCGAAGCGGTGGATAAGCAAAAGCAAAACGCTGACAAGAATGGAAGGGCAAACACTCTTTTATTTAATAAAGGTGACTTAGTCCTACTGTCTACGGTTAATCTACCAAAGCATGTAGTGACTAACTTGGGTAGCAGTAAACTACTACCCAAGTACATCGGCCCATTTCGTGTATTGCACCGCCTAGGCAATGCATACACGATCGAGTTACCACGTAAGATGCGAACGCATCCCACGTTTTACGTTGGTCGGCTTAAGCCGTACCATCAGTACGCTGCTTCTTCCGATGAAGAACGCCCTTGCGCTCAAGCATCTCGCAGAGAGCCTTGTGCTCCCGATGGTGGGCATCGACAAGGGTCTGAAGAGCAGCTATCTCATCCCGAGACCGATCAGCAATCCCACGAGCTACCCTTAGCTCGGTACGAAGAGATGTCAGAGATCTCTCGTTCTCAAGCTGAGCAAAGGCAAACTCAGCTCGATGCTTCGAGGCAGTGTCCGCCATTTGGAGACGCCTATTCCGCTCATGCTCGAGATCGTCGCGTAACCCTTGCGTTACGCGATCAAAGAAGCTCTCGGGAACGCACCGATCCACATGATCGTGTGGAGAGCGTCTTTCCTCCTCCTCCACCTCCATTAGAGGACTCTCGCGGTGGCCAGCGCTATCTAGTTGAGCAGCTGTTGAACCACCGCGACGTGAACGGACGTCGGACGAGTTATCTCGTCCGGTGGCGCGGCTATCCCCCGTCCTGGGATTCTTGGGAGCCCCGCTCCCAACTAATGGTCGACGTACTGGGTCTGGTTGAGCAGTACGACGCGGCACATCCTGTGCCGCAGAAGGACCGCCGGAGAAAGTCTTCCCGGCACGGTCGTAAAGGGATTTCAGGTTGTCAATCCCTTCGTACATCTCAGTAGAGACACGTACGCGCCACCACGGGCTGGTAAGGAGGTAAGCCTCCTTAGGTGCTCGTGCAGAGTTGTTCACACAACATGGGCACGAGTCTCCCCAAGAGAGGCAGGGTAATCCTTTCTCCCTTGACAGACGATGCAGCTTGTAGCGTGCACCTGTCGGGGTTCGCTTTTCAAACTTATCACGAGCTTTGATAAGTTTGTCGTTCCAAGCGTCACGACCTACATCCTCAAGGTTATGGATGTAGGCGTTCCACGCCTGAAGTAGTGAGGGACCATCACGTTTGTGATTCCCACTGTACCATCGATGTCTAAAGAAAGCATCGATGAAGAATTCATGTTCAGCGCGATAGTTTTTCGCGCTGGGGTCAAGGTGATGGATCCTTGACGAATCGAACAATCGTGTTCGATAACGATCACTCGTCGTCGCCGACAAGTGATCCATGACGGATTTGGGAGGCATCCATGCCTTCTTCTCAGGAGCGAGACGCAACACATTGCGGTCCCGCTCTTCCTGCGATGTGCCGACAGAAGTACTGGCACCTCGTTGCGAAGTGGTGTCCATAGGAGAACCGACACCACTGTTAGCGCCCGAGTTTCGCGACCTCGAGCGCCTATGCTTCGGCGATGGTTCATCTGGTTCATCAGATGAACCAAAGATGCTACGACGCAAAGCATCATCCATGCCACGCTTGGCAGGCGGCTTGGATTCGATCGCCGTCGATACGGATCCGTCTTCCGTATCAGGAGAGTACGAGACACCGAGCTCGTACTCTGTGAAGACATGAGCGTCTTCATGACCAGCGCCTGCATCACCAAGTGACACAGGCTGGGTCGCTTCAGCAACCGATGAGACATCAGTTGCTGTGGTTTCTGCTTCGGCGTCCGCACAGAGACGTGCAGACGCGCTCTCGGCGGCCTTGTTCGCGCATCGCATGGGCTTGTTTACCATGCGATGAGATGTTGGAAAGTGGACGCGGACCAACAAGTGCAAACCCTGTCCCAAATGATTTGGGACGAGTATCCATTTAGTCAATCAGTCACTAAAGTGACTGATGGTTAAGGGGGGGTGATGTAACGGGGTGAATCGTTACATAACAATTTATTAGAAATTGTAAAATAGAATATAACTATAAGAGTTATATTCTCAGAATATTGTCATAAGGACAAATATTCTGTAGCACTTACAAGTAGTTCCTAATTGGTTGATATAGGCCATTATATCAACCAACGAAGACGCGCCACGACAGACGCACGCAATGAGTGGTGAGCAGATAACTGATTTACACATTTGTATTTAGACATAGTTAGATGAAGATAAATAGTGATTTATTGCAGACATTAACTATTATAAATACAGTTCTACTTTTTACTCTAACCAAGTACTCGCTTCTTCTTACCGTCTTCCTCTGCACGTACGAGTGTACGTGAAGTTACGAGGCACCGCCTTATTCTGTCATCAGAATAAGTGGCTTGTACTGTCACCAGTACAAGCTTCAGGGTGCCCCGTTACATTACTCGTGAGAGTGTCTGGAATACATTTCCCAAACTCTCGCGTCAAGCATAGGCACTCCGGACTCCATCAGCTCTTCACGGCCAGCTCCTCTTCGGCAGTAACATCCCAGGCGAGAGCCGAAGTGGTAAATGAGATCATAAATTTACCAGAACATTTGCGGCGTGGCTGAAAGCGCGTCGCTACATTTATTCGGGTTGAGCCCAACGCACAAGACATTGAGCAGCAGGTAAACCTTGGCAAATGCATCTGTGCAATCAGGAATTTCTTGCTTAAACGTAAGATTTCTTATACGGATTTCACTAGTCCGAGATCTAGAACGCAATGTGCAAAACTAAATGCAAGTAGCATATCCTGTATTTCGATGACACGATGATACAGGAGTTCGTAAAGGTTGCATTTAACAATCTATTAGTGAGTTCAGCGATATAGTCGTATTTCTCCATCAAGATGGCTGGGATGTGGAACGCTCCGAGTAATGCCTTTCAAAGGCCATGATTGTTGTTGGTATGAATACAAGACTGTGCACATATACTTTTGGCCTGATGATCGATGAGGGCCCGATTTTGATGTAGAGGTCGGTACGTATTGTATCATAGCCCATTATACGCTCAAGTCACCGTACACGCAGCGTTCGGAAGAACGAAATCAACAGAGTTTTTCACTGAAGATCCATCAATGAAGAGGTAAAGGCACATTTGTTGTGTCGATGAAACAATCATCGTGTGCGACTAAGCATGCTGTAGTAGATATGCCGATGACTGTAGCAATGTATACCACGTTATATGTGCACACCGTTGCGAGATAATGGTGCGAAACGTTTCAACTCCGACTAGAAGATGTCAGTGCATATTGTCAGCGACTACACTTTAGTGAAGCTAAAGATCATGAAGCAACTATACGAGTATTGCAAGCCTCATCAAGGATGAGCAACTGCTGACTTTCTTATCCTTATCTCAATCTAGCCTGTACGACTTGATCAGCTACAAAGATTGACCGGAATATGAGACTTTCTCTTCTGAAAAAACAACAACATTGCGGCAGCAATTACGACGGAGTGAAATGGCTGCAACATTGTTCATCCGTTCCGAATGATGAGCAGCAGAACACACACATGCACTATACATCCGTAAGAATATACGGATGCTCACTTTTAGTCTTGTATCTACATTTACTTCTAGACACATATCTCGCAACAACTTTGTCAAGCGTCTCTGACGTCAGCGTAACATGCAAATTATCTGTTGTAACAATGATGACGACGTATGTGTCAGGTGTAGCTTAACTCTACTGAGGACAGTCGTTTACCACGCAAAGGAGTCTTGGGTACTAAATGAATTGTAGTCGTTTACTTGATCCCAGATAAGAGCAACAAGCTTTTGTGCCTTTGTCACAGATGACTTTCACCCGAGCGATAGGAGCTTCACAATGGCAAAAGTAACTCACCCGTGCTTATACTGTGTAAACAGTATAGCAATGAGCTTGACCCCGTCAGTGCATCAATACTTCTGCTTAACTCCTTCGCTCACAGATACTGGCACTTTGTCAGTAAGTTGCTCTACAACCGCACGATCCGTAATCCTGGATTTTGTCCGTGGCGACGTTGAAAAACCACCCCTTCGTACACTTATCGAGCACCAAAAAGCCAGCTGCGATTTTCCCCATCGTCCAGTTGTCAGCAACATAAACTTCCACTTCGCCTTCTCGCTCTCGTACTTCCGACAGCCCCTTGTCGCACGCAGCAGCTCCGACGGTGTCACTGAAGGCGCGTGTTTGACCGCGAGAATGTCACGCGACGACGAGAGTTACCGCAATATGGACCAGCAGCAGTTCGACCGTCGCCGCGAAGAGGATGAAGCGCGGCAGGACGCGCTGCTGGACCAAATCCATGGCGGTGTTGTGGGTCTTAAGAACCAGGCACACGCCATTAATGACGAAGTGGTGGAGCAGAATGTCATTATTGACGACATTGGCGGGGTACGGTTTTGGTTTTGGTTTTGGTCTTTTTTCTGTGACGCAAGGCCTTGGTTGTTGTTATAACAGACAGCTGACAGTTCGGACGAGACGGTTCTGTTTTTCTGTTCTTTTTTCTTTCTTTCTTTTGGTATAGAGGATGGACGATGCCACGCAAGACATTTCACGGGAAGAGGAAGCTGCTCGTCAAGTGAATGCTCGTAAAAAGAAGGTGGGTTTGTATACTCAGTGCTGCGTGAGCTGAAGTTGGGTTTCGGGTTACTGCTGTGGCTGATTTTGATACTCGTTACAATTTATTGTGGACATTTGTGTAACTTTTGATGGTATCATCAGGCGTGCAAGTTATACGGCGTGATTGTAGTGCTGGTGGTGATCCTCATCATTGTGTTTGTGATTCCCGGACCCGCGTAACCTGATGACGGAAGAGTGCCGCTCGTCGGTAGTTGCTATCTGACTTGATGCGACTGGTATCTGATTTGATGCGACGGTGAAGTAGTCGTTGCCTCTATTCTCCCCGATACTCGTTTTGGAGCGCGTCTACTACACTCGATCGTACCTACAACTTCCTGTATCGGGCAATAACATTGTCGCGACATGAGCGGGAGAAGTTTTTGCCGAAGGTCTGGGGATTGTACACTTTACCTTAATACAGCGATTCACATGGCTTGTCTCGTGACGCAGTAGGGAATCGATTCTTTCGGTATCGGAACCACATTGGCAGGTCCGTCTGAACTAAATTGGGGCCACTCTTGCTGCTAGTCCAAGTGTCACTCACCTCGCGGTCGTCATGGAAGTACCACCCGTGACCACAGCGCTTTCAGGTGAATCGTTCCCGATGTCATCAGCGGGTCTTGTCTACTTCAGGCACTTTTCGTGAGCAAGCGAAAGTCAGATCGATCCTTATTTTTCATGAGAAACAAGCAACTGTTACTTGCATCTTCACCAAAAGTCGCAAGACGCTGAAACTGTTCAGGTCAATTCTCCTGCAGTCCTGATTTCTTGTAGCCTGCTGCAAAATGCATCAGGTTTGCATCCGAAATTGTCATCGCAATGTGAATGACGCCGAGATGCCGTCCAACGACCTGCGTTTTGACTGTGCCTAGCGGAAGGTATTTCAATTTCCCGTCACGTAATTTGGTGCTGAACTTGTCTTGACTATGACATGCATGGGTAAGGTTAAACGCCTTGGCACTGCTTCTAATATTCACAAAGCACGAGCTATCGCAGCCCGTCGGCAGTGCAGCCATTGTATCACTACAAGAACTCCGAAAACACCCCACAGTCATTTGCACATCTCAATCTCCAGTACTATGCCAGCTAAGCGGGAAACTATTTCCACCAGAACATCACACGTATGCAACTGCATTTTTGTTCACGACAAGCTTCCTGTTTTTCATCTAGACATCTTGTACTCTTCGTCGTTTCGTACGACAGCTCCAAAACGTCGAGTGCAAAGGTCCCTCTCTCCCTCATCAATGTTGTCGAACGGTTCAACAGCTGCACCAGCTTCCTCTCCTCTCTAACCGCTGCTCTGAACCCCTGCACGCTGCACTTCACGGTGACTCTTGACCGACACCTCCTGGTGCTTCTTGGGCGTGTTGTACCAAAAGCGCACGAAACCGTCGCGTGTCGCAAAGATCGTATGGTCTTTGCCAATGCCTACGCCAGTGCCCACGTGGTACTTCGTACCGCGCTGGCGAATAATGATATTTCCAGCCACCACGCTCTGTCTGCAAAAGGATAGGTGTCAAAAAGGGTTGATTAATGACAATGTGTTTTATAGGTTTTACCAATTAACGACCACTTGTCGGACTTTTTGACAACGTACCCTCCGAACTTCTTGACGCCCAGACGCTTGGACTCGGAATCGCGGCCATTTTTCGTGGACCCGCCAGCCTTTTTGGACGCCCAGCGACACGGTATCGAGAACACGCTCTCGTTCTTTAGACCGGCGCGCGCTGTCGCTGAGACACTGCAGCCAAAGACGCGGGCCGTGCACATCGTCATTGCCATTGGAAGTCGGAGCTCTTGCGTTTTTGACCACAGAAAGCGTACCCCCTTTGTTTTTTTAGTAACTCTCGTTTATTCCGAGCGTAACCTATCATCAAGAATATTCAAAAATAGAATCCATGATTGATTTGGACTGCTCCAAAACTTTCCGCTTCTTTTCAGCCTCAAGTGCGAGGAGGGATGACGTATGTAACTGAAGGGAACGTCGTGAACAAGCGCTCGTCGTGGAGATTGTCCGTCATACCCGACACGTTCTGGGGTGTCGTAAACCTCGTCGGACTCTTGTACGTGGTACAGTCTTGCAGTCGAGAATTGATTGAGGGAGACTGAAGTTGCGTCTATTTCTGTAATTATGTCATTCTCCACAGTGTGACGTCGTTGTTTTCGGTACGTTTCGAGTTGGTTGCAAACATTAGGTTTTCCAAATGATTGGATACTGAAGTAACTCTACTGATGTTAACTTTTGTGACGGAATTGCAGGATGTGTCATCGACCACTCGGTCCAATACTAACATTGGCTCAGCTCCACATCATGGCCCGGACAACAATAGACGTGGAGGTCCACGTCGTCCCATGGGACGAGTGAATCGTCAGAGCACGGTCAATATGCCGAGTACGTGGACTTTGTATCGAGCAGGAAAAAATCCAGTAATCTGTCTGTATTGTGCCAACCTTACTGATGAATTTCTGACTTTTGGTGTACAGTGGGCGGAGGCTGCTGCGGTTAGACTGTTGTGTGTGGAGTCCACCTGTACTCTACCAAGAGGTACACAAGAAGAAATGATGCTGTCCATTTGACATGCAACAGATTCCCACTTAGTGCTACACAACCTATTGCTTTCAAGAAAAATGCCATAATCTAGTCGACAGTTGCCCGCTCTACTTGGTCCGTCGCTTCTTCGTAGCCCCCTTGGTGAAGTTTTTCAGCTTCTTGCCCTTCTTCTTGCGCTTGTCGCCTTCCCCATCTCCGTCGTCCTCCAACGTCTTGCCCTTGTGCTTGCCAGCATTCTCCTCCCGTCCAAGCACACGCTTCAACGCATTCATACTGCGCTCCTTCTCGGTTGCTTCAGCGCCAGTCGTTGGCAAGAAATGGTTGCGCTTGCCCTTCACCTTGCGCTCCGCTTCTCCATGCCGCATCTTATCAAACTTGCCCATGGACGCCGTTGCAAACTGCACTTTTTCCAACGTCTTGCTCGTGCCCTCCTTTCCACGCTGCTTTGCCTTCGCATCACTCGTGTCCATCAATTCCACTGGAATGCCAGTAGGCGTACGCCCAGCAATGCCAGCAAGCTGTTTGCCACGTCCCTGTTTGCGATTGTTCGCCTGGGCCTGCAAATTCTTGTCCACTCGAGCCCGTTTCTCCTGCTTCCGCTTGGTCCACGGGTCGTCCATGTCTCCTGGCTTTGTCTCCACAGCCCAATCCTGCATGTCATCGCCTGCACGCTGGTACCCCCATGAATGGCTCCACTCTCCCGTCTTCTCGTCCAGCACCTTGCGACTCTTCTTGCTCTTGTCAATGCCCTTCTCATTGGCAAACTTCTCCCACTTGGTTTCCACCTTGGGTTTCGGCAATGGTTTCTCACGTGGAATGACCGTCTCAGGGGCTGGAAGAAGTGCCAGTGGACCCATGTCCGACATCTCCCGTGGCAGCTCAAAGATGCGGTTCACCAGCAGCTGCACATTCTCGCGCGCGTGCAAAGCCAGCGCTTTTTCGTTCTCAAACGTGAACGGATGCGTGTCGAAGGCGGCCAAGTTGCCCAAGTCGTAGCCCAGATCATCCTCCTTGTGCACGTTGCTCGTGCTGCCTTCAGCGTACGCGGCTGGAGCGATCTCGCAAGCTTTCGTGACCATGTTGAGGATGCCGTTTCAACACTGACGGAATAAATGGTTGGATGGGAAGCGTTTGGGTTGAACGACTGAGGTGTGGAGGACCACGAAATAGTGTCGAGCGATAAGGTGAACGAATAAAAATACCGCGCCATCGAGAAGTGGCGCATGCAAGGGCTACTTCAGGAGCGCTAGTTTATTTTGTTGGTGTCAGATGTATTTTAAAATAGGAAAGCAAGCTCTGGAGCTCGCCCTTTGACACAAGTAATTCAGTTCTTAGAACTGAATCGAGTTGCAAAACACGATACAGCAGCAGTCACTAGCGAATGAGTATGACGCTGTTACTGTCTGTGTTAACTTAGTACAAGTATGCTGCTGTTACTTTCTGTATTACTTAGTACAGTATTGTTGTGCAACGCGATAGACCTGGTGCTAACAAGCGTCCTGCATTTGCTTATGTGATCATGTCCACCTTCGACCGATTTTTAAGCCAATAAAAAGCGTGCATCACAATAGTGACCGTTTCTAAAGAGTGACGTCTATTTTGCAAATCGATTTATGAGGGGGTACAAGCTCAATCGTATTTAGCACGAATAAGGTACACCTTCCGCGTTTTTACAGACACACGCAGATAAGTACGATTTCAAAGCTCGGTATTCAACGCACTACCTACCAGCTTCACCCTCGGGCTCGCAAATACATTCGCTTGAGGATTCCGTACCGAGGATGGTGAACCTGCTTTCGAGCGATGTTGAATCTGCTTCTCTTGCAGTCAGACGAGTCTCATTAGTGTATACTCCCACGAGTCACGAGCAGGATATTCAGGGGCTGCCGCAAAGAGCTTTGGCGACAATTCCAGTGATCAATGCTAGCAGCACGATCATTAGGCGATGAGCGAGACGTTGTGCATCATCCTGGGTATTAAATGATGATCCGATTGTAGAGGACGAGCGAGTATCCATAGTGGCAGGAACTGAGACGCACGAGTCGGGAGCCTTTCGCGAATGCCCAGGTGGCGTCCACTCCTTCTGCTGCTTTGGCTAACATTTGACTCTGCAACCAGCCGCACAGATCGAGCTATCTCAAATTCCTCGTGGTCGACATCACCATGATTGCAATCGGCAAAATCGTCAGCCAATGTGACGATCGTAGAGACCTCGAGCAACAACCCTGTCATGCAAATATCAACGTGCTCAGCACGACCGGACCGTAATCGCACGTGCGACTGACGTTGGCGTGTGTTCTAATAACGTCTCGAGTCTGTCGGATTGCAAAGAAATGGGAACTGCACTCCTCAACAAAAGAATTAGAGCTCGAAAAGGTCAAGCTCAAAGGACCTCTCCCAGGAGCTCGTTGCTTTAGCTGCTTCGTAGCTTAATGGACTTTCGGAGACAACGCACTTGCACATTACTCGACTACTATGCTGGCCATTGCCGCCAAATATGGTTTAGCGTGCCAGTCGCTCTTCTTTCTCAAACCTCTACTACAGCACGTCCGAATGTTCGCCACGAGAATGCGACCTAAAAAGTACTGCATATAGTACATCTAAGAAGGCCAAGCTGCATATGCATATCTTGCCGTTTGTCGAGAATTCAAGACCTGCATCACGACCCAGGATGTTCACACAATAACGTAGCCCTAAAGATGTGTATCCGCAGCTTCTACTCGAGCGCCAAACAACTAGAAAGATGTGCGTTATACTTGCAACCTTGCGCTTCATTCCATCCAGCAAGACAGAGAACCTCATGAGCACGCGTCATAGTACCTCACCACATGCAGCTTCTCTCAGACTCTTGCTCTTACACCATTGATGTAAAAAACTAACGTTGACGCCACGGATCTACATTTCTATTCTATCACTAGCGTCAACGGGACGACCTCGACCACTGATTTCACTTCAGTAGCTTTGATGCCTATTTTTTTCAACTGCCTCGTTAGCAACTGTGTCCACTGGCTTGACGGCACCTGCTTGTAATACTCTCCATCATTCGATGACCACGGGTCTTTGTGATTACTGAAAAAACAACGTCTGCCAGCTTTGAGGTCAAATTCAGTGGACTGGAGGGTGGTGGGTGTGCCATGAGTGCTTTAGTGTCGCTACGCGCACCGATCGATACCAAACGTTGTCGAAGTAGCTTCATTCGACACTGGACACCAGCAGGCAACCGAAGTACTTGCGTCGACCATCGCTCGTGTTGTGAACAGCCGTTGTGGATAAACTCTTCTCGATTTATCTGCATACCGTCCGTTTCATTGAGCATTCCGGTTATTGACACAGTTGATTTTTAAGTGCTGAACCCGAAAAGCAGCAAAAGTGCGTTAGTTTCTCGTCTACGAACCATGCAGCCAGTGTTCATTGATGTACCTCATTCCATGAGACTCGACATCCCTTTAGCCAGATCCCTCTTCTCATCTTCGTGCATGCACTTCCTGATGCACATCCAAGCAAGGACGTCACGCAGACCTATCCAGCTTTGGCTTTGCCTGGCACAACCTCGTTGCCAGCTCTTTCCTCGCCAGCTCCGCCTCCCTCCATACGGGACTGCTCCGCCTCCAGTCTAGTAGCCAATTCCTTAATGAGCTGATGATCATCCATCCTCTTCGCCGTGCTGAACACCGATTTCATCCTGGCTGTGTCGTATTTAGCCGCTACTTTCCCTATCACTTCCGCGTCCGAAGACCCCTGACTAATGTAGTTGATGCAGTCGTCCATCACCCTCCAATCCTGCCCGAAGATACTCTCCACTGTTGCTTCGTCCAACTCATCCCAAGCTTCTCCAAGTGGCGTAGTTCTTCTTCTCGCCTTCATGCCGAAAATTGCAAATTTTACCATCAATTTCATCAGCCACCACGAGGTTGTGATACTTGCAAGTTGTTCCACTACTCTCTCTTCGTGAACGCTGTGGGTTCTCCGCACTTGCTTTTTAGCCAAACTGTCACCATTGTCCGTCCTGAGTGGGCCAGAGCCGTCAATATGTAGAGCTGCGTCCATCGTGGCTAATAAAGTCGCAGCAAGCAGCAGAACAGCGACGTGGACACGCATGACCGCTGACTGACTGAGTAAATTGCACAATGAGCCACAGAAGCGGGACCGATAAAAGGCGATGATGTGCTGGCGCCTGTTTAGACCGCTTACCGCAGTAAGTGCGGTATCGGAGGAGAGTTCGTGTGCGTGAACTGGTGCCGTGTCTCAGTCGCAATTCCCATACAAACTTGTTGTGATTTGTACACAAAAAGGTCCCACGTCCCTGTCGGACGCTTGTCATACAGTCCAGTGATGACGCGACCTCCGTCTTGATGTGATTATAAAAGGGCGCCAGTAGTGGTACAGATCGGGTAAAGTCCGTGGTAGTGCCGTTTTTAGAGATGCACCGTTCATTGCATATTGAGTGCGTCAACGGCTCTCGGCTGTCCAATCCTTCCTTGACTCGTTCGATGCCCTCACTGACATGCGTGGGAGAAAGGCCGGTGCGAGTCAGTGCGCGCGTACCCGATATCCATCATTCTATGATTTTCAGCTGTAGTGTTGTAAACCGTATACGCTAATATAATAGTCCAAATCAACCAATGAGCACATATTCAATATTATCGAGGCGTAACTGGGGTTTTGCCTCCGTTACGTGATAGTGTTCACAAGATAAATGTCAAGTACGAATATTCTGTTCGGAGAAACACCACATTCTCACAATATTGGCTGAATAAGTGATGTTGTGTTGCGGAAGTGATACACTGCTCATTGATTGACATCGATTAACGATATCAACCGATACGGCCGAGCCACGACAGAACAACGCAATGAGTGGCGAGCAGATAGTTACCATACATGCTTGTATTTAGACATCGTTTAATGAAGACAATGTAGGATTTATTGACAGGAGATTAACTATGCTAAAAACAGCTCTACTTTTTCTCTTCTGACATAAGGTTACACGCGGTTATTGACCCGATTAGGTTGTGTGTCCACACCAAGTAAAAAATCGGTGGATCTGAGTGGTACAGTATTGGTACCACGTACTTACGGTATTACCGCGCCTTATCGGGCAAGGATAAGGGACAAGACATCTGTCATAGGATCACAATATCGAAGTCAGTCAGACAAGGTTTTAGGGTTTCATTACCGCAGTTAAAAAATAAATAAAGTTCAGTTCCCCTTTTTATATCGTTGGACACAAGTGCCTAGTCAAGGCATAGTGTGTTGTAAGAGTGTTAGCCTTGTAAAGGCGCTCCCACTTGTTTAACTAGTAGTGACTAGTTAGTGTGTGATTCTTTGAATCGCAATCTCTTTGGAACCGGGATTGTTAGCTTGTACGCTTGAACGATTGTACGTCGTTGTTAGTTTGGTATATCTAATAGACTCTTTGAGTCTAAGACTTCCTCTGCTAAGGAGCGCTAAGTAGCTCCGCTATATCGCCGATATTCTTCGTTGCCATAAATGAAGCAACATAGAAGGAGAATCGCAAATGGCAACATGTCTTTACAGGTCTTTTCATTGTAAGAGTGGTGAGGACGAACATGTGTTTACGGGTCTCTTTATTGAAGGAGTGGTGTGGACGAGCAGCATGTATCTTAGGGGTATCGCAAGAGTACTTCTTGAGAGTGTGATAGGGGCATCTACGATATATTTGGTAGTGATCCTGTGCGACAAGTACAGTGTGTGGCTAAACTAATCAACAAGTCTCTTGCCATATGCGATTGAGATTGCACAGGTAGCTGCTAATGCTGTGCTCGTCGACGCCGTGTCAAATCAGACATCATGTCCATTGCGTGCCACACAAGGATTCATTTTGATCCGAGAGCAGTGAAGGAAATACAAGAAGTGGGTGCATAACACAAATTAGCTCCATGCACGTTGCAACAACTCTACGTGTGTGAGGCTTTTCTTGGGCTCATCGAATAGCTTACTGAATGTTCTGTATCCATGCTTATACTTTTCCGTCTTTTTCTAGCTTACGCGCTAACGCAAGCCAGCAACTCAATACCCCCCTGGAATAGGAACACTTCAAAATTTAACTGATAAAAGTCCACCCTGCTGCATACTTTGCAAAGTCGATTCCATCTTGCTAGGCGTCCTCGCCCATACTTTCGATCTTGCTTCGATCACGATACTTCACCTTGACCCTTGATCGCTAGCACTTCTGCTTTCCACAACCTTTTTGTTTTGATTTGTTGTTTAGGTGCACCGGTACATCTAAGTGCTCTAATGACCTGCTACAGAAATCATCAGTAGGACCTACACATCCCTTGCCGGCTCGCGGTTATCATGCCGCAGGACGGTTCTGTCACTAGCCGAATTTCTGGGTGCTAGCCAGCCCCGGAGACCCCCGACTATTCGTTGTCAGGGGTTCATGCTTCCTCGAGAGGCTACAGTTCAGTGATGCCAGGGTTCCTGCCTGGGTGGTATCATTGATGTAACGGGGTGAATCGTTACATAACAATTTATTAGAAATTGTAAAATAGAATATAACTATAAGAGTTGTATTCTCAGAATATTGTCATAAGGACAAATATTCTGCAGCACTTACGAGTAGTTCCTCATTGGTTGATATAGGCCATTATATCAACCAACGAAGTCGCGCCACGACAGACGCACGCAATGAGTGGTGAGCAGATAGCTGATTTACACATTTGTATTTAGACATAGTTAGATGAGGATAAATAGTGATTTATTGCAGACATTAACTATGATAAATACAGTTCTACTTTTTACTTAAACTAAGTACTCGCTTCTTCTTACCGTCTTCCTCTGCACGTACGAGTGTACGTGAAGTTCCGAGGCACCGCCTTTTTCTGTCATCAGAATAAGTAGCTTCTACTGTCATCAGAACAAGCTTCAGGGTGACCCGTTACACCTGGTAGCACTTCGTAGTCCGTCCAAGGACCACGTTCACATCTAACATGAATATGTTGGATGATGAAGATGACCAAAGCTTTCACGCTACGCGTGACGGCTACTCCCATTTGAGCGATATCGAATGGGATGCGGTTGAACGAATGGGTTCAACCATGGGCATCCACGCTGTTAGCGTCATGCTAGAGGCTCTCAACAGAGATGCCCAACATGCTACTATCGCCAAGTTCATTCAAAATGAACTTGACGCTGAACGCGAGAAAGTAGCCTTGCTTCACCAACAAGGTTCTCAACAAGCAGAGTTGTTAAGAGAACAAGGTGCTCAACAGTTTGAACTGTTAAGACAGCAGCAGGCTGCTGCTGGTGGGTCGATGCACTCGCGTCGACCCGAGAATTTGAAGATTGACATCTCCAAGTATAGGGGGGTCGAAGAAGACTCCCTCTTGAGATGGTTCGTCGAATTGGATGACGCCATAAGGGCGCGTCGCATCGACGACGGGGATATGCAAGTTGCATTTGCCCAGTCAAATTTGGCAGGACGTGCCAAGACTTGGGCACTGGGGCTCAAGTTGCACGACCCATATGCGTTTGGGTCGTTGGAAGTCTTCAAGTCGCGGCTCAGACAAACGTTTGAACCGCCTAGAGCTGAGCTCAGAGCTCGAACTGAACTCTTGAAGCTCAAGCAAGGCAAGTGTGATGTGCATGCTTACGCGCAACATATACGACATCTCACGAGTTGTATAAGTTCCAATCCGGTGGATGAACACACGTTGGTTTCGGTGTTCATGCAGGGTCTTTCGGATGGTCCCGTCAAGACTCACCTGTTCCGGCTTGAACTAGATTCACTAGAACAAGCCATTTCCATTGCGGAACAGGAAGACTTCAGTCTGAGACAGGCTCGCGCCAGCTCGACTCGTATCGTCCACCGAGACGATATGATAACGGAGGTCCAGAGCCGATGGAACTCTGTTATGTATTGAGCGAGAAGGCTCGCTCTACAGACTCCAAGAAGTTGCAGAAATGCAACAGATGTCAGAAGACAGGACACTACGCTTACGAGTGTAGTGCCCCTCGTCCAGTGTCTCGCAACATTGGGCGTAGTGACCGTCCACCCATGAGAAAGGGGCAGGGACGCGGGTCCGCTGTTGGTGCAAAGACGCAACAACGGGATGGACCGTCAAAAAACGGACAGGATCAGTAGGTGCGGAGCACCCTACTGGTCCAGCAACGTCAAGAGAATTTGTAGGCCTCTTGATGAAGGTTGCTCCCAACACACAAACGTTGTGCGTTGCTGCTCTAGGTAATGAGATCTCACTCACTACCTCGAAACTCGAAGTGACGAATAAGTTGTCCCTTCGAGCTCTAGTCGATTGTGGGGCGTCCAACAATTTTGTGCGACGCCAATCGCTAGAAGATGGTCACTTTAAATTCAGTGAATGTGACACACCTCCTACGAGGATGACGGTACGTCTTGCGACAGGCGCATCCGTAACCGTCATGAAGCGTATAGTGAAGATCCACTATACGCTAGAAGATACCCAATATGACGATGACTTTATCGTATTGGATTTGGATGACAAATTTGATGTCATCCTGGAATACCGTGTACCGTGGCTCAGAAGGTACGAACCACGGGTAAACTGGCAACATCGGACAGTAACGATGCCTGCCGCTTGTTCATCAGATGGCCATCTGATGAACGTTTTGGAGCGTCCACAAGCGTGTGGATGTACTACGAGTGAGTGCGATGGCCTCACTTGTGGTACGGTCGTTAGTACGACTGCACAAAACCTTAGTGTATCAAACGGTTACACTTCGGAGCAAAGTTCCGGCGGCTGTGAGGAAACACAGGCTGCGCCGAAGGTCCACCACTCGAATAAGTCTAGTGGACCGGGACAAAGATGTATCCTTAGCGGGGAACATCTAGAAGAGAAACAATCGATCGCTCAGGTTAAGCGAAACGATAATCCTAGATCGACTGGAGAGTCTTTCGTGGAGGATCTCGCTGTGGTTGCGCAACCACAGCTAGAGGAAGTTAAGGGAATAAGTCCCGATTTAACAAATACGGCGGAAATAAGTTCCCCGAAACCCGCGGAAATAAGTCCCCGGGAAGCCGAAGAATAAGTCCTTCGAGGCCTGAGGGAATAAGTCCCCAGGAAATGACCGAGACATTGAATGTCATAGTCAATAACGGATCAAGTGTAGGCGCTTATACACTTGATCTGATTGCGCCTCCGAAGTTAACTTCGGAGATCACTCAGTTGCCAACGCTCGAACATAAAAGGTTCTTGCGTGATCTGCTAGTGGCAAAGTCAAGCAGATCTGCGTACTCGTCGCTGACGACGAGTGTGTAGCCGACATAAGGTCAGCAACAGTGTTCACTGAGAACGAGAGAGTTCTCAGTAGTTTATCGATGGACGAGAGTGTCCTCGATGAAAAGACACGAGTTGAGCGATATGACTCCCAATCGTGGGAATCGCTCAAGGAAAATCCTCTCTATGAAGATTTGGTTGAATTCAAGGATGTATTCCCTGAAACTGTTCCGTGCGAATTACCGAAGGATAAAGGTACTCGGCATGAGGTCGAGCTTAAACCAGGCTCGAAGTACTGTGTCATGAAGCAGTGGCCACTGCCTCGTGAACAAGTACTTGCGATCGACAAGTTCTTTGCCGATCGTTTAGCAGCGGGCCATGTGAGGGAATCAACTTCCCCACATAGGTCTCCGACCTTCTGTGTGCGAAAAGCAACAGGAGGGTGGCGGATAGTGCACGCGTTTAACAAATTGAATGCTGCAACGGTACCGGCTCAGACGCCGATACCGAGGAAGGACGTAATCATTGATGGTATGTCAAAGAGTACCATCTTTTCGTCCATGGATTTGATGGATGGCTTCTATCAAATCCTAATGCGGGAACGGGATATACCCTATACCGCAGTTAGCACGCCTAGCGGCATGCTCTGGGAATGGCTAGTAATGCCACAAGGGCTCAGTAATGCCCCTGCCACGTTCAACAGGTGTGTATCACATCTGTTGAGGCCAGTACGAGAATTCGCGCCGAGTTATTTCGATGACGTATTCATCCATAGTCGAGCTATGGATGGAAAGTCGGACGTTGAGGTTCACAAGTACCACGTCCGACAAGTTCTTACAATCATGCGAAAGCATCAATTGTATGCAAACCTCAAGAAGTGTATATTTGCAGCAAGCGAAATACCACTTCTTGGGTGCATCGTTGGTAAGAACGGTGTACGTCCTGATCCCGAAAAGATCAAGGCGATCACCGACTGGCCCGTGCCGGTCGATGTCAAAGGTCTTCGAAAATTCCTTGGGCTAGCGGCGTATTTGCATAAGTATTCACGCAATTACGCCGAGATGACTGTACACCTCTCTCGTTTGTTGAAAAAGAACGAGAGGTGGTTATGGAACGCTGAATGTCAACGCTCCTTTGAGGGTATCAAGCAGAGCTTGATACAATCCCCAGTCCTAGCAATAGCCGATCAGGACAGGCCATTTCATGTGGTCTGTGATGCCAGCGATTTCGCAATCGGCTGTGCATTAATGCAGTACGATCTTGAAGGCGTTGAGCGCGTCGTCTGCTATCAGTCGCGTCAGCTGCAACCAGCTGAGCGGAACTATCCAGTGCATGACAAGGAACTCCTTGCCATGAAGTATGCACTCGCGAAGTTCAAAGTCTATCTATTAGGAGATAGACCTTTCATTGTTTACACTGACCATGCGTCATTACGCACGGCAGTGAACAGCCCGCACCTTTCACAACGAATGGCGCGGTGGTTGTCATTCTTTGCGGAATACAACTTTACGGTCGAGTACAAACCAGGACGACTCAATGTCGTCGCTGATGCACTCTCACGTCGTCCCGACTTTGAAACAGTCGCGAAACCCAACAGTGAGACAGTCACTGTTGCGGTTATGACGTCCTCAGTCCCATCTACAACGTTGTATGATGATGTGAGGCGGGCATACACCCAAGATGGTGAGATTGTGAAGTTGTTGACACATCTCTCACAACCATCTCGAGAATCGTTGAAACGATTGTCGTCTGCGTATCGATCTGCATCAGATCGATACACTACTTTACTGCATTATACAGCCGTTACTCGTGACACACCACGTGTTTTCATTCCAGATGGTACTGATATGCGTTTGCGGATCATGTTCGAGTATCATGATGCTCCTATAGGAGGACATCGTGGCCGAGAGAAAACATATATCACGGTAAGTCGAGACTTTTACTGGCCCCGCCAGTATCAGTTTGTGCGAAAGTATGTTCGCGCATGCGAAGTCTGTCAACGAGTGAAGTCAAGTCCTTCACTGCGTGTACCTTTACAGCCTCTACCGGTTCCGGCTGAGTGCTGGGAATCCATCTCAATGGATTTCGTCTTCGGGTTACCCAAAGACGCACGCGGGAATACAGGTATTCTCGTATTTGTTGACAGATTCAGCAAAATGGTACACCTAGTGGCTGTACCAGAGTCAATCACGGCAAGTGGCTGTGCTTGTGTCTTTATCGACACCATCTTCCGACTTCATGGGTTGCCCCGTGAACTCGTCTCAGACAGAGATCCACGATTCACTGCTGATTTCTGGCGTTCCGTGTTCAAATCACTCGGAACGCGCTTGAAGATGTCTACATCTGATCATCCAGAGTCCGATGGTCAGACGGAACGTGCCAATCGTGTCCTCGAAGAGATACTTCGAGGATACGTACACTCCTTTAAGAGTTGGAGTGAGTTTTTGCCGATGGTAGAGTTTGCCATCAACAACTCGGTACATGCGTCCACGACCCATACACCGTTTTACGTGAATGGCTTACGCCATCCGCGTGTACCCACCTTACTAGAGTGTAACTCTGGTTTAAGGGGGGGAGGGACTCGCGCGAGCAAAAACCGAATTGGTTCACGCTCATCAAGCTCTGACGAAGAAGTCATTGCGTTTGATGCCGATATCGATAACATCGATATCGAAGAAGATGATGCCAGTGAGAGTGCGGAAGCCCTCACTGAAGAAAAGGTTGATGTTGCTGCAGTGCGCTCACAGCACACTGAAGCTAACGAGTCATCAGATGAGTTCATACTGGCTCGTGAAACGGTAGTCCGTTTTGTGCAAGACTCCATCGCCGAAGCGGTGGATAAGCAAAAGCAAAACGCTGACAAGAATGGAAGGGCAAACACTCTTTTATTTAATAAAGGTGACTTAGTCCTACTGTCTACGGTTAATCTACCAAAGCATGTAGTGACTAACTTGGGTAGCAGTAAACTACTACCCAAGTACATCGGCCCATTTCGTGTATTGCACCGCCTAGGCAATGCATACACGATCGAGCTACCACGTAAGATGCGAACGCGTCCCACGTTTTACGTTGGTCGGCTTAAGCCGTACCATCAGTAAGCTGCTTCTTCCGATGAAGAACGCCCTTGCGCTCAAGCATCTCGCAGAGAGCCTTGTGCTCCCGATGGTGGGCATCGACAAGGGTCTGAAGAGCATTTATCTCATCCCGAGACCGATCAACAATCCCACGAGCTACCCTTAGCTCGTCACGAAGAGATGTCATAGCTCTCTCGTTCTCAAGCTGATCAAAGGCAAACTCAGCTCGATGCTTCAAGACAGTGTCCGCCATTTGGAGACGCCTGTCCCGCTCATGTTCGAGATCGCCGCGTAACCCTTGCGTTACGCGATCAAAGAAGCTCTCGGGAACACACGGATCCACATGATCGTGTGGAGAGCGTCTTTCCTCCTCCTCCACCTCCATTAGAGGACTCTCGCGGTGGCCAGCGCTATCTAGTTGAGCAGCTGTTGAACCACCGCGATGTGAACGGACGTCGGACGAGTTACCTCGTCCGGTGGCGCGGTCATCCCCCGTCCTAGGAAACTTGGGAGCCCCGCTCCCAACTGATGGTTGACGTACTGGGTCTGGTCGAGCAGTACGACACGGCACATCCTGTGCCGCCGAAGGACCGCTGGAGAAAGTCTTCCCGGCACGGTCGTAAAGGGATTTCAGGTTGTCAATCCCTTCGTACATCTCAGTAGAGATACGTACGCGCCACCACGGGCTGGTAAGGAGGTAAGCCTCCTTAGGTGCTCGTGCAGAGTTGTTCACACAACATGGGCACGAGTCTCCCCATGAGAGGCAGGGTAATCCTTTCTCCCTTGACAGACGATGCAGCTTATAGCGTGCACCTGTCGGGGTTCGCTTTTCAAACTTATCACGAGCTTTGATAAGTTTGTCGTTCCAAGCGTCACGACCTACATCCTCAAGGTTATGGATGTAGGCGTTCCACGCCTGAAGCAGTGAGGGACCATCACGCTTGTGATTCCCACTGTACCATCGATGTCTAAAGAAAGCATCGACGAAGAATTCATTTTCAGCGCGATAGTTTTTCGCGCTGGGGTCAAGGTTATGGATCCTTGACGAATCGAACAACCGTGTTCGATAGCGATCACTCGTCGTCGCCGACAAGTGATCCATGACAGATTTAGGAGGCATCCATGCCTTCTTCTCAGGAGCGAGACGCAAGACACTGCGGTCCCGCTCTTCCTGCGACGTGCCGACAGAAGTACTGGCATCTCTTTGCGAAGTGGTGTCAATAGGAGAACCGACACCACTGTGAGCGCCCGAGTCTCGCGACCTCGAGCGCCTTCGCTTTGGCGATGGTTCATCTGATTCATCAGATGAACCAAAGACGCTACGACGCATAGCATCATCCATGCAACGCTTGGCAGGCGGCTTGGATTCGATCGCCGTCGATACGGATCCGTCATCCGTATCAGGAGAGTATGAGACACCGAGCTCATACTCTGTGAAGACATGATTGTCTTCATGACCAGCGCCTGCATCACCAAGTGACACAGGCTGAGTCGCTTCAGCAACCGATGAGACATCAGTTGCTGTGGTTTCTGCTTCGGCGTCCGCACAGAGACGTGCGGACGCGCTCCCAGCGGCCTTGTTCGCGCATCGCATGGGCTTGTTAACCATGCGATGAGATGTTGGAAAGTGGACTCGGACCAACAAGTGCAAACCCTGTCCCAAATGATTTGGGACGAGTATCTATTTAGTCAATCAGTCACTAAAGTGACTGATGGTTAAGGGGGGGGTGATGTAACGGGGTGAATCGTTACATAACAATTTATTAGAAATTGTAAAATAGAATATAACTATAAGAGTTATATTCTCAGAATATTGTCATATGGACAACATTCTGCCGCACTTTCGAGTAGCTCCTAATTGGTTGATATAGGCCATTATATCAACCAACGAAGTCGCGCCACGACAGATGCACGCAATGAGTGGTGAGCAGATAGCTGATATACACATTTGTATTTAGACATAGTTAGATGAAGATAAATAGTGATTTATTGCAGACATTAACTATACTAAATACAGTTCTACTTTTTACTTAAACCAAGTACTCGCTTCTTCTTACCGTCTTTGTAACGGGGCACCCTGAAGCTTGTACTGGTGACAGTACAAGCTACTTATTCTGATAACAGAATAAGGCGGTGCCTCGTAACTTCACGTACACTCGTACGTGCAGAGGAAGACGGTAAGAAGAAGCGAGTACTTGGTTAGAGTAAAAAGTAGAACTGTATTTATAATAGTTAATGTCTGCAATAAATCACTATTTATCTTCATCTAACTATGTCTAAATACAAATGTGTAAATCAGTTATCTGCTCACCACTCATTGCGTGCGTCTGTCGGCGTCTTCGTTGGTTGATATAATGGCCTATATCAACCAATTAGGAACTACTTGGAAGTGCTACAGAATATTGTCCTTATGACAATATTCTGAGAATATAACTCTTATAGTTATATTCTATTAACAATTTCTTATAATTGTTATGTAACGATTCACCCCGTTACATCACCCCCCTAACCATCAGTCACTTTAGTGACTGATTGACTAAATGGATACTCGTCCCAAATCATTTGGGACGGGGTTTGCACTTGTTGGTCCGCGTCCACTTTCCAACATCTCATCGCATGGTAAACAAGCCCATGCGATGCGCGAGCAAGGCCGCCGAGAGCGCGTCTGCACGTCTCTGTGCGGACGCCGAAGAGAAACTACAGCAACTGATGTCCCATCGGTTGCTGAATCGACTCAGCCTGTATCACCTGGTGATGCAGGCGCTGGTCATGAAGACACTCGTGTCTTCACAGAGTACGAGCTCGGTGTCTCGTACTCTCCTGATACGGATGACGGATCCGTATCGACGGCAATTGAATCAAGCCGCCTGCCAAGCGTGGCATGGACGATGCTTTGCGTCGCAGCATCTTTGGTTCATCTGATGAGTCAGATGAACCATCGCCGAAGCGAAGGCGCTCGAGGTCGCGAGACTCGGGCGCTCATAGTGGTGTCGTTTCTCCAATGGACACCACTTCACAGCGAGGTGCCAGTACTTCTGTCGGCACGTCGCAGGAAGAGCGGGACCGCAATGTGTTGCGTCTCGCTCAGAAAAGAAGGCATGGATGCCTCCTAAATCTGTCATGGATCACTTGTCGGCGACGACGAGTGATCGTTATCGAACACGATTGTTCGATTCGTCGAGGATTCATCACCTTGACCCCAGCGCGAAAGACTATCGCGCTGAACATGAGTTCTTCATCGATGCTTTCTTCAGACATCGATGGTACAGTGGGAATCACAAACGTGATGGTCCTCACTACTTCAGGCGTGGAACGCCCACATCCATAATCTCGAGGATGTAGGTCGTGACGCTTGGAACGACAAACTTATCAAAGCTCGTGATAAGTTTGAAAAGCGAACCCCGACAAGTGCACGCTATAAGCTGCATCGTCTGTCAAGGGAAAAGGATTACCCTGCCTCTCTTGGGGAGACTCGTGCCCATGTTGTGTGAACAACTCTGCACGAGCACCTAAGGAGGCTTACCTCCTTACCAGCCCGTGGTGGCGCGTACGTGTCTCTACTGAGATGTACGAAGGGATTGACAACCTGAAATCCCTTTTTACGACCGTGCCGGGAAGACTTTCTCCGGCGGTCCTTCTGCGGCACAGGATGTGTCGCGTCGTACTGCTCGACCAGACCCAGTACGTCAACCATCAATTGGGAGCGGGGCTCCCAAGAATCCCAGGACGGGGGATAGACACGCGCCACCGGACGAGGTAACTCGTCCGACGTCCGGTTCACGTCGCGGTGGTTCAACAGCTGCTCAACTAGATAGCGCTGGCCACCGCGAGAGTCCTCTAATGGAGGTGGAGGAGGAGGAAAGACGCTCTCCACACGATCATGTGGATCGGTGTGTTCCCGAGAGCTTTTTTGATTGCGTAACGCAAGGGTTACGCGACGATCTCGAGCATGAGCGGAATAGGCGTCTCCAGAATGGCGGACACTGCCTCGAAGCATCGAGCTGAGTTTGCCTTTGCTCAGCTTGAGAACGAGAGATCTCTGACATCTCTTCGTGACGAGCTAAGGGTAGCTCGTGGGATTGTTGATCGGTCTCGGGCTGAGATAACTGCTCTTCAGACCCTTGTTGATGCCCACCATCGGGAGCACAAGGCTCTCTGCGAGATGCTTGAGCGCAAGGGCGTTCTTCATCGGAAGAAGCAGCGTACTGATGGTACGGCTTAAGCCGACCAACGTAAAAACGTGGGATGCGTTCGCATCTTACGTGGTAACTCGATCGTGTATGCATTGCCTAGGCGGTGCAATACACGAAATGGCCCAATGTACTTGGGTAGTAGTTTACTGCTACCCAAGTTAGTCACTACATGCTTTGGTAGATTAACCGTAGACAGTAGGACTAAGTCACCTTTACTAAATAAAAGAGTGTTTGCCCTTCCATTCTTGTCAGCGTTTTGCTTTTTGCTTATCCACCGCTTCGGCGATGGAGTCTTGCACAAAACGGACTACCGTTTCACGAGCCAGTATGAACTCATCTGATGACTCGTTAGCTTCAGTGTGCTGTGAGCGCACTGCAGCAACAACAACCTTTTCTTCAGTGAGGGCTTCCGCACTCTCACTGGGATCATTGTCTTCAGTGAGGGCTTCCCGCACTCTCACTGGCATCATCTTCTTCGATATCGATGTTATCGATATCGGCATCAAACGCAATGACTTCTTCGTCAGAGCGTGATGAGCGTGAACCAAATCGGTTTTTGCTCGCGCGAGTCCCTCCCCCCTTAAACCAGAGTTACACTCTAGTAAGGTGGGTACACGCGGATGGCGCAAGCCATTCACGTAAAACGGTGTATGTGTCGTGGACGCATGCACCGAGTTGTTGATGGCAAACTCTACCATCGGCAAAAACTCACTCCAACTCTTAAAGGAGTGTACGTATCCTCGAAGTATCTCTTCAAGGACACGATTGGCACGTTCCGTCTGACCATCTGACTCTGGATGATCAGATGTTGACATCTTCAAGCGCGTTCCGAGTGATTTGAACACGGAACGCCAGAAATCAGCAGTGAATCGTGGATCTCTGTCTGATACGAGTTCACGGGGCAACCCATGAAGTCGGAAGATGGTGTCAATAAAGACACAAGCACAGCCACTTGCCGTGATTGTCTCTGGTACAGCCACAAGGTGTACCATTTTGCTGAATCTGTCAACAAATACGAGAATACCTGTATTCCCGCGTGCGTCTTTGGGTAACCTGAAGACGAAATCCATTGAGATGGATTCCCAGCACTCAGCCGGAACCGGTAGAGGCTGTAAAGGTGCACGCAGTGAAGGACTTGACTTCACTCGTTGGCAGACTTCGCATGCGCGAACATACTTTCGCACAAACTGATACTGGCGGGGCCAGTAAAAGTCTCGACTTACCGTGAGATATGTTTTCTCTCGGCCACGATGTCCTCCTATAGGAGCATCGTGATACTCGAACATGATCCGCAAACGCAGATCAGTATCATCTGGAATGACAACACGTGGTGTGTCACCAGAAACGGCTGTATAGTACAGTAAACCGTTACGAGTAGTGTATCGATCTGATGCAGATCGATACGCAGACGACAATCGTTTCAACGATTCTCGAGATGGTTGGGAGAGATGTGACAACAACTTCACTATCTCACCATCTTGGGCGTATGCCCGCCTCACATCATCATACAACGTTGTAGATGGAACTGAGGACGTCATAACCGCAACAGTGACTGTCTCACTGTTGGGTTTCGCGACTGTTTCAAAGTCGGGACGACGTGAGAGCGCATCAGCGACGACATTAAGTCGTCCTGGTTTGTACTCGACCGTAAAGTTGTATTCTGCAAAGAATGACAACCACCGCGCCATTCGTTGTGAAAGGTGCGGGCTGTTCACTGCCGTGCGTAAGGACGCATGGTCAGTGTAAACAACGAAGGGTCTATCTCCTAATAGATAGACTCTGAACTTCGCGAGTGCATACTTCATGGCAAGGAGTTCCTTGTCATGCACTGGATAGTTCCGCTCAGCTGGTTGCAGCTGACGCGACTGATAGCAGACGACGCGTTCAACGCCTTCAAGGTCGTACTGCATTAATGCACAGCCGATTGCGAAATCGCTGGCATCACAGACCACATGAAATGGCCTGTCCTGATCGGCTATTGCTAGGACTGGGGATTGTATCAAGCTCTGCTTGATACCCTCAAAGGAGCGTTGACATTCAGCGTTCCATAACCACCTCTCGTTCTTTTTCAACAAACGAGAGAGGTGTACAGTCATCTCGGCGTAATTGCGTGAATACTTATGCAAATACGCCGCTAGCCCAAGGAATTTTCGAAGACCTTTGACATCGACCGGCACGGGCCAGTCGGTGATCGCCTTGATCTTTTCGGGATCAGGACGTACACCGTTCTTACCAACGATGCACCCAAGAAGTGGTATTTTGCTTGCTGCAAATATACACTTCTTGAGGTTTGCATACAATTGATGCTTTCGCATGATTGTAAGAACTTGTCGGACGTGGTACTTGTGAACCTCAACGTCCGACTTTCCATCCATAGCTCGACTATGGATGAATACGTCATCGAAATAACTCGGCGCGAATTCTCGTACTGGCCTCAACAGATGTGATACACACCTGTTGAACGTGGCAGGGGCATTACTGAGCCCTTGTGGCATTACTAGCCATTCCCAGAGCATGCCGCTAGGCGTGCTAACTGCGGTATAGGGTATATCCCGTTCCCGCATTAGGATTTGATAGAAGCCATCCATCAAATCCATGGACGAAAAGATGGTACTCTTTGACATACCATCAATGATTACGTCCTTCCTCGGTATCGGCGTCTGAGCCGGTACCGTTGCAGCGTTCAATTTGTTAAACGCGTGCACTATCCGCCACCCTCCTGTTGCTTTTCGCACACAGAAGGTCGGAGAGCTATGTGGGGAAGTTGATTCCCTCACATGGCCCGCTGCTAAACGATCGGCAAAGAACTTGTCGATCGCAAGTACTTGTTCACGAGGCAGTGGCCACTGCTTCATGACACAGTACTTCGAGCCTGGTTTAAGCTCGACTTCGTGTCGAATACCTTTATCCTTCGGTAATTCGCACGGAACAGTTTCAGGGAATACATCCTTGAATTCAACCAAATCTTCATAGAGAGGATTTTCCTTGAGCGATTCCCATGATTGGGACTCATATCGCTCAATTCGTGTCTTTTCATCTAGGACACTCTCGTCCATAGATGAACTACTGAGAACTCTCTCGTTCTCAGTAAACACTGTTGCTGACCTTATGTCGGTTACATACTCGTCTTCAGCGACGAGTATGCAGATCTGCTTGACTTTGCCACTACGCAGATCACGCAAGAACCTTTTATGTTCGAGCGTTGGCAACTGAGTGATCTCCGAAGTTAACTTCGGAGGCGCAATCAGATCAAGTGTATAAGCGCCTACACATGATCCGTTATTGACTATGACATTCAATGTCTCTGTCATTTCCTGGGGACTTATTCCCTCAGGCTTCGAAGGACTTATTCCTTCGTCTTCCCGGGGACTTATTCCCGCGGGTTTCGGGGAACTTATTTCCGCCGTATTTGTAATCTTGGGACTTATTCCCTTTACTTCCTCTAGCTGGGGTTGCGCAACCACAGCGAGATCCTCTACGAAAGACTCTCCAGTCGATCTAGGATTATCGTTTCGCTTAACCTGAGCGATCGATTGTTTCTCTTCTAGATGTTCCCCTCTAGGGATACATCTTTGTCCCAGTCCACCCGACTTATTCGAGTGGTGGACCTTCGGCGCAGCCTGTGTTTCCTCACAGCCGCCGGAACTTTGCTCCGAAGTGTAACCGTTTGGTACACTAAGGTTTTGTGCAGTCGTACTAACGACCGTACCACAAGTGAGGCCATCGCACTCACTCGTAGTACATCCACACGCTTGTGGACGCTCCAAAACGTTCATCAGATGGCCATCTGATGAACAAGCGGCAGGCATCGTTACTGTCCGATGTTGCCAGTTTACCCGTGGTTCGTACCTTCTGAGCCACGGTATTCCAAGGATGACATCAAATTTGTCATCCAAATCCAATACGATAAAGTCATCGTCGTATTGGGTATCTTCTAGCGTATAGTGAATCTTCACTATACGCTTCATGACGGTTACGGATGCGCCTGTCGCAAGACGTACCGTCATCCTCGTAGGAGGTGTGTCACATTCACTGAATTTAAAGTGACCATCTTCTAGCGATTGGCGTCGCACAAAATTGTTGGACGCCCCACAATCGACTAGAGCTCGAAGGGACAACTTATTCGTCACTTCGAGTTTCAAGGTAATGAGTGAGATCTCATTACCTAGAGCAGCAACGCACAATGTCTGTGTGTTGGGAGCAACCTTCATCAAGAGGCCTACAAATTCTCTTGACGTTGCTGGATCAGTAGGGTGCTCCGCACCTACTGATCCTGTCCGTTTTTTGACGGTCCATCCCGTTGTTGCGTCTTTGCACCAACTGCGGACCCTCGTCCCTGCCCCTTTCTCATGGGTGGACGGTCACTACGCCCAGTGTCGCGAGACACTGGACGAGGGGCACTACACTCGTAAGCGTAGTGTCCTGTCTTTTGACATCTGTTGCATCTCTGCAACTTCTTGTAGCCTGTAGAGCGAGCCTTCTCGCTCTCTACATAACAGAGTTCCATCGGCTCTGGACCTCCGTTGTCATATCGTCTCGGTTGACGATATGATGTCGAGCTGGCGCGAGCCTGTCTCAGACTGAAGTCTTCCTGCTCCGCAATTGAAATGGCTTGTTCTAGTGAATCTAGTTCAAGCCGGAACAGGTGAGTCTTGACGGGACCATCCGCAAGACCCTGCATGAACACCGAAACCAACGTGTGTTCATCCACCGGATTGGAACTTATACAACTCGTGAGATGTCGTATATGTTGAGCGTAAGCGTGCACATCACGCTTACCCTGCTTGAGCTTCAAGAGTTCGGTTCGAGCTCTGAACTCAGCTCTAGGCGGTTCAAACGTTTGTCTGAGCCGCGACTTGAAGACTTCCAACGACCCAAACGCGTATGGGTCGTGCAGCTTGAGCCCCAGTGCCCAAGTCTTGGCACGTCCTGCCAGATTTGACTGGGCAAATGCAACTTGCATATCCCCGTCGTCGATGCGACGCGCCCTTATGGCGTCATCCAATTCGACGAACCATCTCAAGAGGGAGTCTTCTTCGACCCCCTATACTTTGAGATGTCAATCTTCAAAGTCTCGGGTCGACGCGAGTGCATCGACCCGCCAGCAGCAGCTTGCTGCTGTCTCAACAGTTCAAACTGTTGAGCACCTTGTTCTCTCAACAACTCTGCTTGTTGAGAACCTTGTTGGTGAAGCAAGGCTACTTTCTCGCGTTCTGCGTCAAGTTCATTTTGAATGAACTTGGCGATAGTAGCATGTTGGGCATCTCTATTGAGAGCCTCTAGCATGACGCTAACAGCATGGATGCCCATGGTCGAACCCATTCGTTCAACCGCATCCCATTCGACATCGCTCAAATGGGAGTAGCCGTCACGCGTAGCGTGAAAGCTTTGGTCATCTTCATCATCCAACATATTCATGTTGGATGTGAACGCGGTCCTTGGACGGACTACGAAGTGCTACCAGGTGTAACGGGGCACCCTGAAGCTTGTACTGGTGACAGTACAAGCTACTTATTCTGATAACAGAATAAGGCGGTGCCTCGTAACTTCACGTACACTCGTACGTGCAGAGGAAGACGGTAAGAAGAAGCGAGTACTTGGTTAGAGTAAAAAGTAGAACTGTATTTATAATAGTTAATGTCTGCAATAAATCACTATTTATCTTCATCTAACTATGTCTAAATACAAATGTGTAAATCAGTTATCTGCTCACCACTCATTGCGTGCGTCTGTCGTGGCGCGTCTTCGTTGGTTGATATAATGGCCTATATCAACCAATGAGGAACTACTCGTAAGTGCTGCAGAATATTTGTCCTAATGACAATATTCTGAGAATATAACTCTTATAGTTATATTCTATTAACAATTTCTTATAAATTGTTATGTAACGATTCACCCCGTTACAGTCTTCCTCTGCACGTACGAGTGTACGTGAAGTTCCGAGGCACCGCCTTTTTCTGTCATCAGAATAAGTAGCTTCTACTGTCATCAGTACAAGCTTCAGGGTGCCCCGTTACAATTGAGACTTAGATGGTTGCACACATTTTTCAAGACCTTGGGTTGGTCTTGAAAGGTGGAGGGGTTAAACTTCATGGCATAGAACAGGACAGGTGCTGGGCTGGGTTCGGCTGACCATTGCACAGGGTGGGAACCCAAGATGCAACTATAGAAAATGCTTGCATTGTTAGTTACTGTCAAAGCTGCTATTCCTTAAAGACGACAAGCGGAGAAAGCTTGCTATTCACTCGTCCATTGGGAGCGTTAGAGTACCCTTGACATACACGTCATTGTACAACTCCCTGTACTTCCGATGCAGCGCTTTCTTCTTAGGGTTGAGCAGTTTTTGTCTGATACCCATCCAGGCGTATACTTTCCACGTTTGGTTTTCGTCCACCAGCCAATTGTACAGCTGCGCCTCAATCAACTTCGTGGCCACCTCTTCCGTCTCCTGGGCATCCTTTGCTGCAAAGAGCATCATGGCGAGCGGACCGTCGGTGTAGAAGATGGTCAAGGTTTTGACAATCTCTATATCCGCCTTTAGAGCATCCCCTTCTTTGAGATTGTAGACGAACGTTGTCCAGATTGCGAACTTGGGGTTGTTGAAGAACTTAGCGGCTTTCACCGCCAACGAGGCCTCGACTTGACCCCATTCAACTGCTTCATTCAGCTTGAGACCTTGAAAAACGTCAAGGGCTGATTTCCTGTGCGCTACCCACATCTGTACCAGCGCGGTCTGCACAATGCCTGCGACCTTCTTGACCTTCTCATTCTTGATATTCTTTGCCGCGATGATCGCCGACACCATCGCTTCCTCTCCGTAATGGTCTGTCAGTGCCTTGACCACAGCCACTCTCGCTGCATCATCGGAAACTGACTGCAGCTGGGTGACCCAGGGTTTGTGCATAAAGACGTAGTCCACTGGTGGGTTGTCAAGGTGAAGCATAGCCAGGTATTCCTTCGTTCTCTCATTTGCCATCGAGAGCTTCCCACGCATTTTCGACGAAATTGCCGACACTGCAGCTTCCGTCTCCGCGACGGCATCAACAACACCTCTCTCTTCGTCATCGGCGTGACTCCTGAGTCGAACGTTTTGGGTAGGACTGTACCCTTCTACCAGATTGAGCGAGCCAGGTTGGCTACGTTGAAGACTTGCACCTGTGGTTGCGCATAACGCTGCAGCAAGCAGCGGAAGCGCGAAGTGACGGTACATGGATGACGGCCGAGCTAATTGCACAATGGGGGTGAGAAGAGGGATTGGCGTAATGTGTGGAGTGCACCCAGCCTACCATTTTTACGGCAGTAGCTACTGTCACGGGGTTTGAATGATATGCGTGCACCGGTGCGTTGCATCAAGCCAGAACGAATCGAGTGGGATCACACGGACGAGGCAGTCACACGTTACCACCGCCCCTGTTTCTCGATTCGGTCGTATGCTTTCGTCTGAAGCATGCACATACATGTGTATCATCTATACACTTATGTAAATTGACCAGGAGTTAACAGAGAAGGATTCGCTAAAGATCCGTGGTCCATTCATGCCGCGCGAATGCACGAGGTGTGAGTATGCAACCAGCTCATGTCTTTGTTCTCGTACCTCCTCCGAAGATCTTAATTATGACCCTAAAATTTTGGCCATTTCTAGCCGGTGCTTGCGTACTCGATGTTTCCTGCACCGCGTCCCGGCTACGGTAGTAAGCAGCATACCTTCAAGTATTTTAAACGCAAGACCTGAATCTGCGACGTGTCCGTTGCACAAGGAAGACATCTGTGCATCGACCTCAGTATTCCTAGAGTCAAGGTGCTGGGCGAAAAGGAAAAAAACATCCTGTGTTGATGTCACTAGCAACAAACGAGGTCGTGGGTTTGGGAACGAGATCCATGATCACTGACGGTTGAGCAATGATCAGCAAATACGTTTGGCAATCGCCTACTCCTGTCATATTGATGTGGCTGCAGTTAATGGCCCAAGACACCTTTAATTGACGACTATATCGCGCGGTGATAGCACTGCAAGTGCGTTTAACGTGTAAGTACTTGCAATGTTGAACGTCCTGCTCTTACGCGAATCTTCTGGATATCATTCTCTGCTTGTCTACGTGCTGCGCACGCACAGCAGTGGCGCAGTCAACAATACGCCACTCATTACAGTGCAGTCAGGTAACTATCGCACCACCTGCTGGATGGGGCAAAAAGAAGAGCCCCGGAATATTCAACAATATGCAATTTTACGTCGGACTAGAGGACCACCACCGACATCTCGAATGATGTTCCAGCGGCTGCAGTGCGCATTTAGTGATGAGATGAAAGCGCTTGTGATTTAATTGAATCCAGCAAATACTTTAGTACACCTTTACGACAATTCTATAGATGCAGAGAGAAGGCGTCGTGCACAAGCAGAAAACAACGTACAAAGGTGCAAGACATACATCTACGTCAGTGCGTAAGCTTTTAGATACATAACTTGAAGAGCACCCCATCAGGTAGTGGGTTATGTGCAACCACCTGCCTAATCTACACCGGATTTTTTCGCGTGGCTTTGAACCCTCCAGACGTCTTGCTCACATTGATAACGTTAAACAGCCGCTCCCCCTTCAAGGTATCTGACTCGCACGATACTGCTTCGTGTTCATGGCTAGTACCGCGACCACTACCATTGGTATCTTATCCCACTCCAAGCACACACGACCGCTCACATACAATCTTGGTGCTTCCCCAATCCGACGTCATTTGACCTTGTTGCGCGCTAGCTTCTTCGATGCCAGTCCATCTGAACGAAGTTTCTGTTTGCTTAAGCGACGTAGATGAATAAAAAATCGATTGGCGATTTCAAAGTTACACTGGGGTCGTCCACGCGAATGCCGCGTGTAGTGAGCTCCTTCGGACAGTCGATTTAGACCAACTGCTTCAATTCTTCCTTTGTTAACCTTTTCTCCGCTTGATTTAGAAGTCACCGATCACCACTAAAGGTTTGTGCATAGGTTCACGATTCGGTATAAGTTGCTACGCATGAGAGGTGCGTGAAACTGGTCTCCTGCATGGACCAGTGCAACGCTGTACATGCACTGCAGCTCATACACGGTTCCGGCTACAACCAATGTGCTTTGCTATCATCAGAGACGAGTTGATGCAAACTTTGTAGATTTGCCCCTCCTAAATTAACTCAATCGTTGAGCTTATGACCCATAGCACCTTCTTCGGTGACCAGAGTCGGTCACCTAGCCTATTCACCACATCGAGATGTGATTCGCTGATACATACGATTCGACTATACTCGTGTATTGTGTTTCTGTCAAGAAAAACGTGGGTATAAAATAATGACGATGTCCATGAGCATTTTGAGTGATTGAAGGATACTCGTACTCCATGACTATTTAACTGAAAGACTAGCTTGTGTATCAGCACCACGTTAGCTAAGCTAGTACTGGACTCTACCAATGTACTATTTGATGAAGGTTAGGGCTCCGTCCCGCGCGGGATGAAGAAGGATTGGTCTATCCAGCGGGACACTAGGGGATGAGATCATTGCACATATACCCTGCAAAAACTATCTTGCAAACGACCAGATATACATACATATGAGCGCCAATGTATGCAGTGAGGGTGCCGAAAAGGGGAATAGTGATTAAACGGTAAAGTTTACCACAATATGACCAATGCTTACCAGCTACGTTGAGTGTGGACACCGATGGCTGTTCCACTAGATGCTAATCTATAATGTCACACGTCCGCTGCCGCCCAAAAGGGATTTACCTTGTGTATGAGATATACAATCCCAATTTTTATCGGTGATCATTCATCTAGTTCATAACCTCAGTCAATCATTGATGACAGACTGATGTACCACCCATCAATCTTTAACATACTGACGATTACTATGCGAATTAGTTTAACCTTAGTATTAGGCAGTTGAATGAAGTTTATTACCAACAACACCAAGAAATAAAAGTTCAGATACCCTTTTGATCTTCTATTAACACGTGTCTGCGTTAGACTTCTGCAGATCACAGAGAGTCAGTGCCATCTTGTGACGTAGACTCTAGAGCACCTGTGCGTACGATTGTTGGAGTCGTTATTAGTCCCTTGACCCAGGACTAGAACTTCTACAAGCTTAGAGACTTTTCAAGTCTTTGTGGAGTAGTTCTAAGAACTAGAGACTATTAGAATATTAGGAACTTAGTTCCGTAAAACTAAGTGACTTCTAGAGTCGTAAGTCTTCCTTTGACTAAAAATCTGTGTAGCTCCACTACATATTCGGTGTCTTTTAAACCAATCCTACAAAGAAGTCGCAATCGATTAAACTTCTGTCGAGATAGAAAGTCCCAGCTTATCTCTAAGGCTTAACGCCTCGCGCTCGACAAGCTTAGAGCGTTGATCAGGGTTGAACAAGTTGACTATCTTGTGGCCCAACGCCGAAGTGCTCAATTTGGGGCTGGAAGCTTTTATGCATTTTGAGGCCAAGCTAATCGGGCAGTTCCATGAACATGTGGCGTCGGCTGTGCCGACTCGTAACATTCTATAACCTATGCAGAGCCTAAGGCTTGCCAGCCAGTTCTAAGCGTAAAGGCATTTGAGGTAGGAGGGAGAAAAACACTTTCTCTGGATTAGAGAAGTCGAAATGGCGATGAGCGCCAAAGTGCTGCGAACTAAGCAGTAGAAGTTGTTCCAGCCATATCAAAACTCGGCGGCAGAGCCAAATAATGGGCTCTGACGTGTGGTGCACATGTAGACGCCGCATTTTCCATGTGGTATCGCTTAAGAGACAGATGTCTCGCGTGTTCGCATTACCCGATCAGGCTTATCGAGTGCGTTCACTTTTCTTATCCCGACAAGAAGAGAAGGATTTATCAGACCATGTCCAAGAGTTGAGAGATCTTGTTTCTGCTATACAATCGGATCTCCCTCTTATGGATCCCTGTGTCAACATTTCTGTGAATATGTCCATCCTGGGTCGCTCGGACCGAATTTGTTCGTGTCCCACATCAATCTTTGAGATAGCTTTGGACGTAGCGTTGAACGCCGAGTTTAAATAAAAAACGGCGCTATGGCACGCGTGGGAATGCCCAATATTCGCTTGATAGGGCAGTGCCCACGGATCTCAGTCAGGCGGTTGACGACGAAGCATAATTTTAAGCTGTGGAAAGCACCGTAACATCCGTAGATGTAAATTTATGCAATTGTTGGCGAAAAGCCCATACATCAAGAGTCTGATGTGCTTACAGTGGCGGATAACTCACCGGGTGATGAGTTCGAGTTAAGTAACTCTGCCCTGGATGTCGGTTACGACATCAGATCTTGTTTGGATTACGCTAAGGTTGACAAAGCCAATCCCCTTGTAGGATCAGATGGACCGCTTTTGCTAAGTAGTACAGTCGCTTTTCAGATATGGAAGCAACGCCAAATGTCGACTGCAAGATAAGAAGTGTCTGTAATATCGCTTAGCGATACTAGAGATCATTTTTATACACTGGTCGTTGACGTGACAGGTCACGTAAATAATGAAGTTGGCCTTGCAGTCCGCCTGTCGTTAGCTGTTCTATAAAGGCTGGATGACGTATCTGTAAATGAGATTAGTCGGGCCTTGAAGGCATGCGAACTATCCGATACGGTGGTCCTTAGACCCGATTATGTTTGAACTCCTCGTCTCTACTTAATTAGCCAATTGTTGAAATTACAAAAATGGCGGCACTTAGTGAACGAATTGGATCATCTATGAAGAAGAGCCTTTCAGACTCTTAATACCCTATGGTTGAGTTATTTTAGGACGTGGCAGTCATAATCCACCGTATTTATTACCTTTCGATCAGTGCGTACGTCATGAAATTTACTTGCTTCCAAGAACCAAATACTGCGTTACAAAACAGTAGCCTGTAACAAATGAATACTGTGACGTCATTGGCGAGTCTTTTAGTGCTAAGCAAGCGGCGGGAATGGTTCATGAGAACAAGTCTCCTCATTCCACACCGACGTTTTGTGTCAAAAAGCCTGATGGTAAGTGGCGTATTGCATACTTACAATAAGCTTAATGCGGACACTATACCGGAAAACACCCATTCCTGGAAAGGACAATCTATGAAACATGGCAGGACAAAATGTACAGTACACTCGACCTAATTGATAGCTATTATCGACTGCTCAAACAATCAAATGGTATCTCACAGATGTTAGTTCTCCAAGTGGTATGAGTTGGTAGTGGCTAATTATGCCCCAGGA